CCTTTTCAAACAAAAAAATTGCTTAGCTTTTGTTAAATTGCACGCTTCCTGGTTTTTATAAACAATACATTTTATGACATGAGTTACTAATTTTAGGTGTGTTTTTAAACATTTTGTCAAACTATAGTGTTAAACACTAAATAAACAGTTATAAGTTAACCTGTTAAGTAATCTATATTTGAACCAGCATAGTTATAAAACTGTAATGAATTGTACCAGGGGGTTATTGAGTTTCAAATTTATTGACTATGGTTTGTAAAATATCCATTTGTTAAATATTTAATTATTTACAGATTATTTTAAAACATAATAAAATATTACCGTACTGAATGTTACTAAACTATGTCTAAAATGATAACAGGGAAACAATTCAATTAGTGCTACCAAATTATTTGTGATTTTTCATTTGATGAAAACAATACATTAGGTTAAGAGTAGGGTATGTCTCGTACATTTTATAATCTAGCTGGATCAAAAGTAAAATTTAGAGTTTGGCAGTTTGTTGATGTATTTTATGCTAGAATAATAAAAAGAAATATTACTTGTCCTTGTTGCAGTATAAGCCTAAATTAGTTAAACATTATTCATTTTCATCAAGTGATCTTACCATTTTTTGTTCTCAATTATTTTGTACTAAAATGGTACTTCTTAGTAATAAACAGTTATTTTAAACTAAGAATTTAAACTTAGGCTACATAAAATGGACAATTAATGAAATAAAAACATGTAAAATTTATTTTTCTCCCTTAACATTAGGCCTTTATGTATGACAAATTTTTTGTACTACACATTACGCATACCTACACATTTTTTCTTCTCCCCCATTTTTCTGTTATAGCTTCTGTGGTACTCACAATTTAAGTTTGAAAATATATTAATTTTCTTTCTATCACAGCATTTTTCTGGCTTTTGAAATTGCAGTTTGAATATACAATTAAATGGGTGAGTTCACAGATAATGAGTCCTTCAAGTGTAATTTCCAAGAAGACTCCAGTTGTATCCAAGAAATGAAGTCGGATAGTCTCCATAATGTATACGACCATAAACCAATGCCACATTCCATTGGTACCTGTGAAGGGATTGTGCATGGACACAATGTTGTCATACAAGAAACTTCCAAATATTTTCAAGAATCTTATTTTACAAAAGATGTGCATCATAAAGATGACAATTTAAAATGTGTCCATCCTCAGGAAGACAAAGATTTTGATTTTATTGATAACGATCCACTTTTTGAAGGAATTCCATTGCTATGCAAAGAGTTCGGCATATTTACTTCAACTGATAAAGATAACACATCAGTACAACCTAAAAACTATGATTATCATCATACTAATGAGAGTAGTTTTGTCCCACCAGTAATTAGAAATCAACTATCTCAACATTATGAATACATTACCCAACAAAACCAAAACATTAATCATCCTTATGAAAATGAATTTGATGATTTATACTACACTGTTCCTGGATCAAGGTCTAACACAGAGAGTTTTAGTGAATTGAGATTTTCCCTTTCTGAGACTCATTCCGAATACAATGTTTCCGAAAGTGGCAGTAATGCATCACAGGAGGTAGAATTACTTGATCCTAATGTGATATGTAGTGAAAAACAGTCTCTTGATGGGTTTTGTAATCCTCCCAATATACCCGTTGACGATACAACTGGAATCCTTTATGAAATGTGTAAACAGATTAACAAAGTGCCAGAATTATTAAGTGGTTCAAGGAGACCGGTGTCTGAAACAAGCACAAGTAGTTCAGACACTACAAACATGTCTGGTGGAACCTTGGAAGAGAGAGTATTTTCTTGCATTAATCACTGTGATATCTTATCCCAAATGGAACTCAACACTAGAAGAGGTCAAGATGAACTTGGCCGACTAGAGGCTGCAGTTGACAGAATGTTAAACCAGGTAGAAATTCAAGAAAACTTATTGAAAGAAGATTTAAATTTTGTTCCTCTTTTGTTGGAAAGGAAGGAAGTAAAAGCTCTTCCTTTGCTTGTAAATACTCTATGTTTGTCTCCGACTTTGAATCGAAAAGAGGTAGAACCTGCATATTTTGAAATGAAGGAAAAAGTAAAATTCTATCAGACAAAGAGGAGCAACTTTACATCAGATCCAAACCTTGCCCAATGTGACGACACATGTAGAAACATAAGTGCAGATTTTTTTGAAAATTGCAGTATCAGAAACTTGGAAGAATCTGTCAATAGACTATTGAATCAGGTAGAAAAAGAAGAAGAAAAGCTAGGTCTCAATTCAAATAACCTTGAATCAAGACATATATCCCCAATATCAACTTCTGACATATCCTCTGAAGATGACAGTTACAGTGTGTGGTGGGAAGGGGCTTATAGAAGTCTACCCCGACATCCTGGTAGGAAAAGGCTAGCAAAAACCTCTACCAACCAAAGGAGCAAATCAAAACATAACAATTCAAATACACAAGATAAAAAAAACAGTATGAATAACTCAGAAAGTCCAAGGAATAACAACACTGCACAATCAAAATTATTAGTAAAAACAACTGAAAATGGAAAGAGTGCTCTAGAAATCAGAATTTGTAACAAATTCACTGAATTCTCTTCTGTTGAGGGTGATAAGAAATTTAGTCAAATGTTTAAGGATTCCCAATCACAGGTATTTTCTGCTTGGAATCGTTCATTGCCAAGCTTACAAGACAGGAACTTTTTCTCGTCAAAGTCATTATGTGGGACCTTTAGTTCTGACTCCCTTAACTACTTACAATATTTACAACCATCAGACTGCATCCAGTACTTTATCCCTGGCCCCAGTACGGTTCTCGATAGTGCAGGCTATTGTACTTGGACTGATCGAATAAGTGGAGGTAAGACAGTTAGTTCCTTGAGTTGTAGTCAATGTTGAAAACTAACAGCATGATATTTTTGCTATAACTCTCACCACATATGTCATTAGCTATTAGTGGGGATGGGTAGCAAAAAAAAATTCAGTTCTGGCAGGGAACATGCCACTTGGGGTGGTGATAATATAAAAGACCAAGAATGTAAAACCGCGCAGACCCAAATTTTTAAGGAACTCGGTCATCCTTAATGACGTCATCAAGATGGCGGCTGTAAAAGGATGCTGGGTCGCCATGAATTGATTATAACACCCCAATACCTGAACTGATTTTAATGAAATTTGGCATACAAGTACTTGAATAATTATCTCGACCCTGTTGTCAATGGTCAAGTTTGACCTAGTCGTTTCAAAATGGTGGCCGTTAATAACTAAAATAATAAAAATGTTTCAGTGTTTCAATTACATATATTTTAGCAACTTTATTATTCTCCCTGTAGCAACAAAGCTAAATACTTATAAAACCTAATGTTAATAAAATAGATGTAATGAAAATCAAATCAGGCAAATGGTAACTCACTTGGTCTGCAGGTTTACAGTGTTAGGAGTATTTTGCCTATTTCATGAAATGCAGGGACGGCATCACAACCTGTGATTGCAAGGAAAATGAATAGGTTGCTGCAGATCTCTGGAGGGAGTTGAGAAGACAAAACACTGAAAAATTTTTATTATTTTAGTTATTAACGGCCAGCATTTTGAATCAACTAGGTCAAACTTGACCATTGACAACCTGGGTCGAGATAATGTATTCAAGTACTTGTATGCCAAATTTCATTAAAATTGGTTCAGGCATTTGAGTGTTATAACCAATTCATAGTGACCCAGCATCCTTTTACAGCCGCCATCTTATGACGTCATTACGGATCATCGAGTTTCTTAACCTTTCAGAGGGCGCATTGGTTTTTAAAACGGGAGAGGGCGCACCCGGAGGTTACTTCCGGGTCAATAAAAAAAAACATTTATGAAGTAAAATTTGTATTTTAGTACACAAATTAAGTTTTATTTTTAATTTTAAACATCAAAAATATGTTTAGTAAACTCTTAATTATACAATAATTTAATTTATATTTTATAAATATAAAATTAAACTATTATTCTATCAAATTTTCTAACATAAAAGTATATGAAGAAATCTTTTACAAGAATATATTCAAGAAGTTAATTTAAATTTTACCACAATGTCCTATAATGTGGTTTTAATTGATAACACTCTCAATACCCGATGTTTTAAGTAATTTAAGAAAATGGGTATCTTAATACTAAATGGCTCTGTACATACGTCGTTCGTGAATCTCCCTTTCAGCATGGCTAAGAGTGTTGCAATTCGAAATTTAACTTCTTCTGTCATCTTGTAAAAACTATATATTTAATAAATAATGACATGAATTGTAAAAAAATAATTATTTACAGTAATAGTTTACACGCAATAATCAACGCACACACTAAACTAGAGGTCGCATCACGGAAGTTGCCTCCAGGCTGTACGAGAATCGGCAGAGCGCACACGGAAGTTACTTCCAGCCTCTTACAAAACTGAACAAAACTAACAAATATAAAATAGTAGGGGTGAGTTTTGACCTTCACTCTATTCTAGGAATGAGGTGCGTGAGGTACAGTGACACTCACACTGCCGACACCACTCAAAATAATATAATCGCAAAAAATAAAACATCCCTGGAGGTTACTTCCGTGATGCGACCTCTGGAAGGATAAAAATTGGGGTCTGAGCGGTTTTACGTTCAGGAACTTGTATACCATAACCACCTCAAGTGGCATGTTCCCCGCCAGAACTGAAATATTCCGCCACTTTATACAACCAAACAACCCCACTATATAGCCCATAGTCATGTAGTATGAAATAAAAATTATCCTCATAAAAAAATATAGCAATACCATTTGCACACTTAAATTAAATTTTTGAACAAATGTTTAAACAATTTTGAGTTTCATTCTTTTAGTGGCTTGCGTTTAGTACTGCAACAAGGACACTCGTATATCTTTTTGATAAAGCTAGCATAATTTTAAGTTGTGTATTCATAGATTATTCATTTATTATTTATAAATTATTATTTATTTATTATATTCATAGGATTTATTATGCTTATATGGCAATTTCAGAGCATCCTTCTGTTAGTCTGGGGACTAAAGACCATGAGTACCCTGATTCTACTGCTACTGATAACTCTCAGATATTTACCGAAACAGTAAACATTGAAACACACGAGCATTTAGCAGACAGAGTTAGAGATAAGGAAGCAAAATATCACTTTACAATGACAGCACTAAATAATGAATCTTATAAAGAAGTGTTTAATTCACTTACAGTTTTCTTGGAAAACGAACAAGAGTACAATAAGGGATATTCCCCAACAAAACTTGATGAGGTTCCTGTTTCAGTCAATACTAATGTTCCATCTTCAGATGAAGCAGAAGGAAATCATTCAAAAAATGAAAGTGATCCTAAGTCTGACAAATCATTTGTTGGGAAAGTATCACAGAAAATCTTGGGTGTTTTTAAGAAAGATGATAAAGGCAAATCCAAAAACAAAAATAATAAAAATAGTAAAAAAGATGAACATTCAAAAGATTTATGTCAGTTAGATTTAGTTGACGAGTCCCTGAAAGAAACTGTATCTGAAACGGTAACAATAAGTGTAAAACCAGTTTCATCAAAAAGTGATTTTGTAGACGAACATGTTGAATCTGATATTACTAGAAACATGCAAGCACATCCAGTAAATCTTGATAATAGCCTAACTTTTGAATCCACCCCAGTGTTAGATAATAAAAAAGAAATGGTTGAAACTAAAACTGATGTGCTGTCTAAAATTGGTCGACTTAATCAAGGTAAAGATGAAGTGAAAGATAGCATTACAACCAAACAATCAATAGATATTCAAATTGACTCTCCGGAATATAATGATTTAGTGGGTGATAATACTAAAAAATTTGACATAACCTGTCAAGAAAGTAGCAACAGAGAAGTCGATAATTTGAAGGAAATTTTTCAAGAAAAAGAAGACTTATCAAGTCTACACTTAAAAACACTATCTGAAAGCTCTAATGGTCATATTGTTGAAAAAATCAACAACAAAGAAATATCTGCCCAAAAAACGAGTCGGAAAGATGCCCTATTGCTCCAGGAAACTGATAGTAGTTTTCAAAAGTTTGTAACAAAAGAAAATTATGATGGAAATACGATTAACTCACTTTCTTTAACCCCAGAAGGACCTACAGAGTATGTTGTTGATCAAATTGCAAAATTTACTAATGTCATTAAAACAGCAGAAAAAAGTTCTTCTGTATTAAATCAACTTCAAAATGATATACAGAAAGAAACACTGGGAGAATATGATGAAAAAGAAAGTACATTGGTCAAAACAGCTGCAGAACATGTGGAAGAGTGTGTCTCTGATTTCAAAGATAAACAATATGATACTAATAAATTGTTACCGCATGTTCAAGATAAGATTCCAGGAGAAGCTGAAACAAAGATTATTGCCGGACAAACAGATTTTTTGACACAAAGGCAAATAGATGATGATAATAAATTGGATGTTGTGAAAGAAGAAGCAAACGTAGGTAAAACTATAAATCCAAATGATCTGTCACTTGACAATAGAATTTCAACTATTACTGATTCTGAATCAAATAATACTGCTGGTCAAAAAGTGATGTCATTTTTTGGCGCATTTTTTGGTAAATCAGATGAGGCTGAGGATTTTAAAACAAAGGGAATGCAAAACTCAGACTCAGAAGGTGTGGATAAAGGAGTTCAAAGAAAATCTAGTGACCCATGTACCACAGACAGTAAAAAAGAAATGGAAAGCAGTCTGGACCATATAGAAATTAAGGGATCTCAGCTTTGCTCAAATGTATACGAGAATAATAGCAACCCTGACACAAGCAAATTTGGTGAAATAGAATCAAATACTCTACCAAGTGGTACTGTTTTATCTCTTGCTAATGACAAAAGACAGGACCCTACTGAAGATGGTAGTTCTAATGACAAAAAGCTTTCTACATATACAGCTAGCCTCGGTTTGGGTAATACAACTTCAAGTGATGATCTGTCTACTCTTGCATTAAAAGATAACGTGTCTGAAAATATTGAAAGTGAAATCAAGAATAAAAATGAGGAACTGAATAACATGACAGCCAACTCAAAAATAGCTATCAACTCAGATAGTTTTGAAAAGAAAGATCCTTCAGATTACGAAAATAAAGATTTTGGTTGTGATCAAAGTAACAAGGAGACAATTAATGCATGTTCCAAAAGTGTCAGCCGAGAAACTTCTCCTAGCATTTTGAAATCTCCCAAAAGTGAAAATCAACTACCCGAAATTCCTCACAAAATCATAGAAAGTAACGATGAAAAACTTAATAGCATGTTGATAGATATGTTAATGGAACAGGAATGCATGGAAATTCCAAGTGAAGAACTTTCTACTGATATTAGATCACAGCCAGAACCATCTACATTGTTTGAATTAAAACATGACCATTTAGGCAATTTTAGTGAAACATCGGATATTAATGTGTTAAAATCAGAGCATAGCTTCGGAACAATAGAATCATTAATAGTCAGTCCTAAAAGTAATACAATTTCCGACAAAGAAAAATCACCAGTAAAACCATACGTTACAACTCCAACCATGCAGCGAAGAAATATAGGAGGATCCCAACGGTTGTCAAGAGAAGAAAGGCCTACACTTAGAGAAATATCATATTTGAGTGATAATTCTAGCTCAGATGAGGAAACTTCTATCAGATATATTGTAACTGAACCCATAGACCAATCGTCGTCAACAAGAAAAGTATCATTTCAGTTTGAATCTGAAGATGAAACATACTTGAAAGTATCAGACTCTAACAGTGAACCTGACATAAATGTTCGAGATATTACATCTGGCCTGGAATCAACTTTAGGTGAAGAAACCAAAGCTTTCTTAGAAGATACAAGACTTACAGAAGACATAAAAGAGCATTTTAAACAAAACAAAAATGTAGAAAAGCGGTTTGAAAGGATGGCATCTGAAACACTAGAGGCAGATCCAGAAGTGAAGTTCACGGTGGACAAGGAGTTTCAGCGCATGGTTTCTCAGTTGTCAGCAGAAGAAGTTGAAGCTTGCATCAGCCAGTGGGATGAAGGAGGAATGACGCCATCTGAAGAGCAAGACTCGTCAAGTCCAGGTCAAAGCATTGAAACATTGCCACCAGAAGGTAGGGGATCTTTTAAAGCCTATGTTAGTTTCAGATTTGACAATTCATTTGAACTCTGACCTTAAACTATAAATTATTTCACACCATGGATTTCTTTATCCTATATGAACTAAAAATAATTTGCTAATAGTTGAGGTTAGAAATTAGATTGTATTAAAAATTTAAAATTTAAAATGATATATTTTATATACTATAAAATACAATAAACACAAAATTTTGGTGAATGAGAGTGGCTAACAAATAATATGAGATATCTTGTTTAACTCATTCAGCTCTTTATGTATTTTTAAAGCCAGTCTTATTAATTTATGTTCTTTTAAGGATTTTATTTGAATTATTCTAAGCACTAAACATTGTATAATCATGGCCCCACAAGAAAAAGATTTTATCACTCTTAAGATATTGTCAAACCTTAGTAGCAAATTTAACTGTCTATTACATTACTCACATTTGTTGTTTGATTACTAAAACATTAAATAGACAGGTTTCTCCTTATAGGCTCCTAAAAATGTTCATATAATGAAATTGGTAAAAAGGCCTTTTTTCAAAGTGATTTTCATATACAATGGTTTTCAGTATAACTTAAGTCAAATCTATAAGAAACTAAACTAATGGCAACTCAAATAGAACTGGTGGTTGATTAATACCAGCTGGCCTGTTTTAAAACATTACCTTGACCTGCCAGTTCTATTTGCTTTGACTATAGCATAATACAGGGTGTTTGTGAACTTTCTCGAAAAAACTCACAGGATTATTCCTTGGGTTAATACATGAATATTTTACATTATAAACATGGGTCGCCGGAGCCTCGTTTTCCGTCTGTCTGTCTGTATGTGTTTTTATAAATAACCTTATAACTTGAGTTTGAATCGAGGTACAAACTTTAAATTTGACACACTTGTGTATTTTAACGTGGTACACAAACATGCAAAATTTCATTTCGTTGACTATAGCCGTTTCAAAATGCCTGCCATCTAAAATCTTTGACCTCAAATTACACGAAAACCACTAGAGTTACAAAAAAACACAAGGATAACAAAATGTAGGAAATTTTATGCCAAATCAAATGACACCTAGATCTTAAAGATCGGACAACAAACAGCTGAGTTATTAATTTTTGTATAATTAATAATTTCTTTACTGGCTTTTAATAATTGTTATTGTTTATTCTTTAAAATCATCTGATACAGTGTACATTACGTAACTCAAACAGATCTCAATAGTTAAGGTAAAAATAGGACACTTAATACATTTACAATCTAGTAAAAAAACTAAATGTTAGGGCAAACCAGCTGTATTACATTGTTGTAACAATTTAGAAAGGATCAGATGATTTTAAAGCACAAACAATAACAATTAAAAGCCAGTAAAGAAATTATTAATTATTAAACAAATTAATAACTCAGCTGTTTGTTGTCCGATCTTTGAGATCTAGGTGTCATTTGATTTGGCATAAAATTTCCTACATTTTGTTATTCTTGTGTTTTTTTTTTTAACTCTAGCGGTTTTCATGTAATTTGAGGTCAAAGATTTTAGATGGCCGCCATTTTGAAACGGCTATAGTCAACGAAATGAAATTTTGCATGTTTGTGTACCACGTTAAAATACACAAGTGTGTCAAAATTAAAGTTTGTACCTCGATTCAAACTCGAGTTATAAGGTTATTTATAAAAAACACATACAGACAGACAGACGGAAAACGAGGCTCCAGCGACCCATGTTTATAATGTAAAATATTCATGTATTAAACCCAAGGAATAATACTGTGAATTTTTTCGAGAGAGTTCACTAACACCCTGTATATTTACACATAGAACATTATTGTTTAGTCAAATTCAATATAATATTTAAGAGTCAAAACCTTTCCCCTATGCCTACTTCCATAGAGAGAAAAAAAAAACAATTAATTAATTCGGTCATAGGTGTTTATCTACTTGTGAGGTTCTCTTTATGAGGCTTACATTTATGATCCCATGTTTTATGCATTCTGAAGGCTGCTTTATTTTATTACTACATGTTTTTGAGAGTTACAACAGCAAAATTTGAGGATTATCAATGGTTACGAAGTAGTATAATAAGTTACTTAGCATTCTTTTTGTATCAACAAGAACAATTAATAAATGGTCAAACAAGTAGCCACAAAAATGCTCCTACATGGTATTAGCACCAAGTAATGTGTATATCCTATTGATTTTTCTTAGTGAAGAAAATACTGATTGGTTAAAACTAAGAGTTTTAGTAAATAAATCATAGCTCATGGTTGCAAAAGCTTTGTTTAGGAATTTAATTATGGCCATTGACTAGATATAATTATATATAGTCAATGTTATAACTTACATAAAATCTAATTTACTATCACAACTCAAGTACCGTACTTAATAGTTCACTTATAGAACTGGGGGTGTATTTTCTCTTACTTATTTAATGTATAAATTAATTATTCTATTGATTTTTGTTTCCTAGTTTGATATCGTAATTTGTTATTGCGTTTACAGTTTGGTCATGGAGTGTTAATGGCTTGTAATGTCATTAAAGTGCTTATAGTGTGTCATAATATTTAGTAAAAAGGTGGCCAGAGTCAACTGGGATGGTATAGAAAGTTGTCTTTCTAACCATGGTAGAAAATTTAGTTCTTGATATTTCCCATCCCTAAATTGAGAAAGCAGAATACAGTTAGTTAATACAATTACAAATAATCACACCTGATTTTAATAAGGTAATAAATTGAAAGAATAACATACCAATAAGTACAGCTGAGGTATTTTTATCATTAGGTATATGGAAAGTTCCCTTCAGAAGGGATTACGACCTTGAAGGGCAATTTATGAAATAATGGATGGTTTTGCGCAAGGTTTCTCGTGATGACGAACATTTTAAGTATATGGTTTATTGAGGTGTGACTTAGTTTTCTCAAAAGTTCATGGGTACTTTGGGATTTACATATAGTTTATATACAGGGTGTCCCGTAACTCTCTGGACACTTGTACATAGCGTTATTCCTTAGGTCAAGACAAACACATTTCACCATAGGAACATGGGTCTGTGGTGTCTAGTTTACCGACTGTCGGCATTTATGTGTTTTTTACATAAACATTAATAAATCCTAAACGGTTTGAGATACAGCTTTGATATTTTGCAAAAATGTTAATCTTATTAAGACCCATTATTGTTAGAAATTAAACTAAAAACTCATTAACCGTTTCAAAATGGCGGCCATTTAAAATATTTGATGCCAAATTTCACAAAAACCGTTAACTTTACAAAAAAATTGCAAGAGACAAAAAAGTTTGTAAATTTTATGTAGTTTTCAATGATACCTTATTTGTTAAGATTGGATAAATAATAACAGAGAAACGTGTTGTTTTCGTAATGTATGACCACTTTTCTCCATTTAAACAATGCAAAACAACGTAAAAGGAGTATTAGCATTGTTTAAATGGAGAAAAGTGGTCATAAATTACGAAAACAACACGTTTCTCTGTTATTATTTATCCAATCTTAACAAATAAGGTATCATTGAAAACTACATAAAATTTACAAACTTTTTTGTCTCTTGCAATTTTTTTGTAAAGTTAACGGTTTTTGTGAAATTTGGCATCAAATATTTTAAATGGCCGCCATTTTGAAATGGCTAATGATTTTTTAGTATAATTTCTAACGATAATAGGTCTTAAATAAGGTTAACATTTTTGCAAAATATCAAAGCTGTATCTCAAACCGTTTAGGAGTTATTAATGTTTATGTAAAAAACACATAAATGCCGACAGTCGGCAAACTAGACACCACAGACCCATGTTCCTATGCTGAAATGTGTTTGTCTTGACCTAAGGAAAAACGCTATATACAAGTGTCCAGAGAGTTACGGGACACCCTGTATATTGCAAAATTTTTATTTTCTTGTAGTGATGTAATTCTTTTACAACAAATGAAATTTGGAAACTAGGCTTGATATTAGAATAATCACTGTTTTAGGGGTTGAATTTTTCTGGAATATTTCCTTGGGCTTGGGCAGTTCTATATTGTAGGCCTACTTTAGTTTATAATATAGTTGGATACTCAGGTGTAATGTATGTGCTTGCCTTGTAAACCTTGCTAGTTGCTGGTTTCACCCTCAACACAGATTGGACCACTTTTCAATGGTTCAAATCGTAAACCAGATGTTATTTTATAATTTCTTTAAGGAACAATTAGCTGGAGACCGAGCAAGAAAATCATAAGTAGGGGAGGGTGGGCCACAATGGAACATGAGCCACAATGAAACACTTTATGCTGGGCTACAATGGAACTGTTCCATTGCCCTAAAGTGTGATAGAAGCTCTTTTAAGTTTGAAGGGTCATTTACTTTTCCGAATGTTGCTGACATCACTATGGTTAAACTGAGTGACATAATTATAGATGTTATTGCCAGTTCCTGCTGAGACTGGATCAACAAAGAGACTGAAGTCAATTTTAGCGAATTTCCCTATAGGGAAGTAGCTATTACCGTAGGTGGCACGGTAAGACCTAGAACCGGGACCGATTTACTTTTTCATTTTGATGTCCCCAGAGGCCAAAAACACCATTCGTTCAAATTTTTATATATGTATATATATATATATATATAGATTTATATATATATATATATATATATATATATACGTCCGTGAACGCGATAACTTGAGTAATTTTTGTCCGATTTTGATGAAATTTGGTTTAAGGTGTAAAGCGGGATAAACTTGAATGAGTTCGCGAACCATCACGATCGGACCATGGGAATGGGGCTTTACGGGGGGTTTTATGGGGTAAAAATTGGTTTTTCTCACTTTTGACCCTCAAAACACAAAATTTCCAGATTTCTCTTTAAACCTTTTTAAAGAGCTTAAAAAAACAAATAATTTAGTATATAAAAGTATTTTTGTTCGATTATTAGTAACGGAGAAAATTAAAAAAATTGTAAATTTAAAATTCCCATGTTATTCTTATGGAGAATATTGTCAAATGTTGTAGTTTGCTTGTTTATGGATATATTTTGATCAAACTTGACAAATTTATTTATTTTGTACTAAGCTATCAAAATTTTACTCAAAAACACACTTTATTAGTTTCCTTGTAGCAGCAAACCTAGGTACTCGTTAAACCTAATGTTATTAAAATATATTTAACTGAAAATCAATTTAGACAAATGGAAATTCGCTTAGTTGGCAGGTTTGCTGCGGCGGGGGTATTTAAGTTTGAAATGAATTTTGACTTGTTTACTAATTACGAGTAGAACCATTTAAAACTGAAAAACTGATAGTTTTTACATGGATACCATTTGAGGTAATAAACAAGATTTATTGTACAGTATTTTTGTGTTTTAATTTGTTTTAATTTAATGATTGAAAAGTAAAGTATTAAAGTAAAGTATTACATTCCTACAAACTGGTTGTTGCACAGAAGTTCAATCAAGGAGACCCTAGATTACGTCTGATGTTTTGTCAAAGACTCTTTCAGCTGATTGAAGAATAAAACCTTCTGGGGCGCCTTATAATGTCACTTATAATTAAAATGGGCTTCAATGCAAAAGGAAGGGTGTTGTACCGTCCAACGATCTATGATTACTCAAATGGCATGACATTTGTTGTTGTTTCATACAACAATGAAAATTCTACGAGTAACAACAGCTGATTGACATTTGTTTGAAAATGGTCAGTTATTTATGGACCACTCTTTATATAATGTATGCGGGAAAGGTTTTTCCAGAAGTATATTTATCTTCTGAAGCTGCAAACAAGTAAAAAAATTGATTTTTAATTTCTGTTCCATTGTCCCTTATTTCCATCTTATCCATCTTATTTACATAAGGGCCTGGGTTCAATTCCTGTGAATTATCAATGGCATTTCACTATGTGATTCTACTGTGACCTGATGCCTTAAAACCCATTACAAGCTGTAATTTGCAATTTTTAAAGCTGTTTGGTGACTTTCTAAAGCCTTTTTTAACATCTAAAACTGTTTCCAAAAACCTCTGTTACGCTTTCATGACGAAATGTATGTTTAAACTTATATCTCCCGAGTCCAATAGGGGAGGGGGGTGGCTTTAGCCCCTATAGCCCCCACCTCGGTACCACCACTGATTTTAATCTCTACACTCAACACATAAAGAATTATAACTATTCTTATTTTACTATAAGTTCTTGTTTTATAAATTTAATAGATTCCATAAAAACTCTTCCTGTTAGATTAGACAGAATGGCACCATTATTCCCCCGTTTAAATTATTGAAAACTTGTCATTTCATCAACCTTAACCCATGTAAAGAGATAAGAACACTGTTATAATTTTGTGTAGAACACAGAAGCAAGAATATTGTATGTATTTTTTAAGGTTTCATTTGTTGCATATTACTGTACAAATTAAAAAAAAACTTACATTTGCAAACAATTTCAAAGTTAATAGACTTTGATTATGTGATCTAAAGTCTTTAATCAGCAATATATTTTTTTATGAATATTTAGCAGATATATAAAACAGATTATAAATTCATTACTTGTTCTTATATTTTTACTGTAGGAAATGCTCATAGCATAATCAAAAGGTTTACATTTAGCTAACATTTCCCATTTTTTGTCTATTAGAAGTCCTAAACCTTTGTATTAGTCTTTTTGTCTTGTACATTTACAAGCATTTTGGTATTTCCACATGTAACAGTAATCTATTAAAAATGATTATATGGTTAATTCTTCAACAAAAAAAATAACTCAGGGATATTTTATGAAATGTATACATTAGTTAAAATTTAAATTATCATGATTTTTATTTTGTACAAAATGTACAATACATAGTGTCAGCTTAAAAATACCTACTATAGTATACCAAAACTAGATATAGGTAGTTTTATTACTTATGCTATGTTTTGTATTTAAATCTACAAACTGACACTATTTATTGTGCGTTTTGTACATATTATAAATAAAGATAATATAAGGTTGAATTAGTTACATAAGTGGTTAGACACAAACCTGTTATAAATTTTATGGAATTTTTCTATTTTACTCTAGTTAAAATTGTTTAAGGTTTAACTTTGTGAAGAGAAGTCAATTGTAACTGTATCATATCACGTTCAACTTGAAGTTTTGTAGCTAATTCTGTGCATTTCTTAGCTCTCTTAGGATCAACAAATCCATTTCATTCTCAAAGTTCCCAGTGGATAGATTTTGAACATGAGGTCAGCAGCATTCCCTCTTCAATATTTTGGGCATTTGATACTGCTCTCCCAAGTAACATAATACAGCCTAGTGATCTAGATATTCCTGTCAAATCGAAGAGAATTGAGGGTAATTAGTTTGTAAAACTGCCAGATAATCTGACAAGCTTGTATGTTTTAATCCTAAATAATGCAATAACATTCTCTCACAAGTCAAATTACCTTGTGCTTCAATGGGCGATCCACTAGGGATTATCCAGATTAAAATGAGGTAAAATTAGGATTTATCATCCATGAATAATATGTGTAAATGACATTATGTGGTGATCCAGCAAATAACAGCATGATTTAATACTATTTGTTTTTTGTGTATAGTTTTACTAATGTGTGTCTGATCCCTTCTAGAAGTGAGCAAGGACGTAACCCCGGAGCAAGAAACTACTGAAGCTGACATTATCCCACCCAAACCTAGTCCTAGACCTACCAAGCAAGACTCTCAAGACCATTCAAATAATTCTCAAAAAACAAACAATGATATACAAGATTATTCTGTTCGTAAAAAGTTTTGGGAACAGATGTCATCAGGATCGCAAGATAGCCAAAAGTCTCAAGAAATCAGTCCATCTCCAGTTCCTAAGCCTAGGTCAAGCATTGTATCATCTGTACCTCTACTCAAGTCTGAGGCGGAATCAGATACAGAGACAACTGCCACTACACTTAGTGATTCAACTATAAGGATCAAGTCTTTACAGCAGGATGCTGTGAGCAAGCAGTCACTAACAGGCTCGTCAGAATCTTCTGAGAAAGATGAATCAGAAACAGAAGCTACAGAAAATAAGAATTCGCTATCAGATTTTAATATTCCAAGTACCACTCCTTTTGTATATAACGAGTCAGAAGTTAAAAAACATCTGACTAGGGTTGCTGAGAATAGTGATTCTGAAACTGAATATGTTGCCAAAGTTGGTGATGATATTTTAACTTATGAAAGTAGTGGATTTATTCTTGACGATGAAGCAGGTCAAATAACTCCTAAGCCAAATGATCTCGAATCCAGTGGTATTGGGAAACCAGTGGTTTCTTCCAGAAAAGGTCGCTATGAAAGATCTACATCATTACCAACAGAAAATATTACAGATATTTCTACCAGCAGTGTAAAAGCAAGAAAGCAGTTTTTTGAGACTCAAATAAAAAAAGAGATGGTTGTTGATCAATTGATGACACAGCTTGAAGAAGAATCGTCACCTGAGCATAAGTCTTTCTATCATAAAGCATCAGATGTTCCTACCTCAGACCCTGAAGTCATGGTGAGCCGTCAAATACATAGTCATATTTTTAGCCATGAGTTGGAAGAGCAAATAGAATCATTAATTCCTGAGAATAAACAAATAAGTGAACAAACTGAAGAAATTGAACCAATTAAATCATCTTCAGTAAAGGAAGTTGTCAATACATTCGATAAAGTCGATGCTAAAAGGTGTGTTAAAAGAACTGACTCAATATCCTATGAGGTAGAAATTGTTGAAAATAAACAATATTCTATTGAAAATGTTGAAGATTTAAAAACAGATTACAGTAAAACTGATAAGAATTTAAAAGAGTCTGATAATGAAACTTATAATCTACAAATTGTTAAGCACAAACTAACTGATGAATTTGAAGGGTTTGATACTTCACAGTCTAAAACTAAGATCTATGAAGAAGTGGCAGATATAATTAGGTACAGATCAGATAGCATATCCAAACCATCTGAGTCTTTAGAAGTACATATTGATAAAAGCGAAATTGAGGAATCTGAAAAAGAGATGGAAATCGATGAAGAATTAAAACAACTTGAAGAAGGATTAATCCAACGGTCAAAATCAGATTTATATTATCGCGATGATGAGTTTCTTCCACAAATAACCGTCACCCAATCAAAACTAAGACCAGATAGTTACAGTCAAGGAGAGAGTGAAGATACCCAATCTGAATCTGACATTACTCCTGAAGACATTAGAGAAAAAGAAAGTGTGTCCAAGTTTCAAGACTGGGAACAAGAAATACATTCAGTAGAAACTTTAGATAAAAATGAATTTTGTCAATCACCAATTCCACCCCATGTTCACACACCTGAAGAACATATCCCTGACACTGTGTGGGAAGTTCCGATTCAACAAGAACCTGAAAGCAGTGAACAAGAAATAGTAGAAGACATTCCAATCGAAAAACAGCCAATTTTAGAAAAGGATGAAGAGGAATCTCAACGATCATTAACAGAGAGTTGTGAAATGAAATCTGAGATCTTACAGCGCCTAGAAAATTCAACTAGCCACCGATTAAGTGACAATGAATCATCGTTAACAGAAAGTGTGTTAGATTTAAAAAGTGGAGTTAAAGAGCAAAATAGTGAGTGTAAGTTAACAGAAGATGAAGCGAGAATAATTGCACAGGAAGTAGTTGAGAACATAGAGATTGAAATTTCAAAACGACCACAATTATTAACAGATGATATTGATATGAATGTTACATCTGAGACAGTTGACGCCATAAATAACTCTGAAGTATCTGAGTACATCAAGAGACTAACTGGAAAAGAAGATTTAGAAGTAAAACTAATTGAATCTGTTTTGGCTAAAAAGCAACGAGAACAAATAATAAAGCTATCTCGAAATGACACTACTACTTCAAGTATGGAAATAACTGATGAGGACCTACGCAGTAGTGGTGTTGAAACAGATAACTCTCCATTGGAAAGTCAAGGATCAAGACTGTACCCTATTGAAAATAATGGTGAAGATGACAGCACAAAACATATACAGAATAATGAACTGGATCTAGATGGTGTTACAGAAACCAGTAAGAACAAAGCAGTTCTGGAAAAAACATTAGCAGAAGTTAAGGAATCTCTTGAAGCAGCACAAGACGAACTAATAGAAGAACAGAAGAAGAAAAAAGAAGTGCACAAGAAACCATCCCCTTCAGAATTTGAGTTCAAAGCATTAGCTCTAGAGAAGTATGCAGATGCCTATATCCAAGAATGTGAAATAGAAGAGGCTGCCACTGGATTTGACTTAGAACATGTTGTTGAAAATGAATTAAATTTAGAATCTTCCAAATTGTCATTGAAAGAAAAAAATGAAGTGAAAAATGAGTCTCATGCAGACATATCACAATCCATAAATGTGGTAAAAAGTGAGATCAGAATAGATAACAGAAGTTTGGACTTTGAAAACAAACATTTAACCCATGAAGAAACTGAATTCATCCATAGAACTGATAGTAGTGGTGCAAAAGATATGAAAGACATAACAAAAGAGTCAGCTTCATATTTAGTTTGTGAAAACAAAGATTCTCATCTTGAATCTCACCAAATATCTTCGTTCGCCACAAGTGCTTTCACATCAAATATTGATGTAGAACAAAGCAAGGAAGGGAGGGGTCCCTTAGAACAAGATTTCACTCATAGCTTTTACAAAGAAGAGCATGTTGCGGAGGCACAACTAAAAATAGGAACAGGAAACCTGGAAAAAACAAAATGTTCAAGTATTTCAATTGATAAAGAAGATACACTTACTTTTGATGATAACAGTTTAAAAAACAACTATTTGGAATCAAAAAGTAAAGATTCATTGATGTTGATAAACGAAACTAATGAGAATTATCAATTTGAATCAAAGACACAGTCTAGTACCACAAGTGGTATACATCAGGAAGACTCTGAAAGTAGTTTAAAAATTAAGTTAAAAAATCTTTACTTGGAAGAAGAAGCTGTTGTAGACAGTGTCTTACAAAAAGATGAAATAAAAAGGACCAATAGCGAGGAATCACAAAAGTCCTCTCAGGATGAGAGCTTTAGATCTCACACTGGAATAGAGGGTGGAATTTCATCATCTTCCTCTTCTGGAAAAAAAGAAGACTCTGATGCCGCAATGCACACATTAGGGCAACCAGAAGTAACTATGCGAAAACGTAAAGCTGATAAATCGTCTAGTCACAAAAGATCTGAACGTCGGTCAGGAACTGATTATGAACCATATTCCAGTTCAGGCGAGAGTTATTATCAGTCCCTAGAACAAACTTCTGAGAGCATTAGAACTCCAAGTCGGCCATGTTCGTCAGATGTTGATGCTTTAGTTGCTGGGGTCGGTACAACTGGATCTTCTGAGTATGAATCAGCATTTTCTCACGAAATGTCTGCTCGTTCATTAACATCTTATGAGTACCACACAGCTGTAAGCTCTCTGAGTTCAAGAGATTCAATGAAATCACTTGACTCTGAAAGTTCTGGCAATCTCGCTAGTGTAGAAATATCAAGCGAAGCATCGGAAACTCTAGTACCATCAGCAATGGAACTCGATAGTGATATGGAGGGACTAACCATGAATATCATTGAAGAAGATTGCTTCTTCAAACATAAACCCATTCTTGAACCATATGATCAAGATATTCCCCATCACATTATAAAAGGAGAACCTCCACCAAGAATTCATACATTATCTGATTTAAAAGAATATGGCAAGTCCATAAGTTTAGACATTTCAAGTGAAGGTGGTGTATCTGAAGAAGATGGTGAAGCTTCACTGAGTGTATCGAAAGATGAAGATGTTTTGGATAAATCTTCACGAATGAAAAGGTCACATGAAATGACTTTTCAACCAGAGCCCAGGCCAATAACCTTTGATGTTGGTTCTGAATCATTTTCATGTGAAGAGAGGTTAGGTTCTAGTCTTGAGGATTCTGCCAGTATAATTAGTGCATCAAGTACTTCTGATCCAACCGCAGTCTTGACAATCATTGAAAGGTCCAGGACTGAATCTGATAAAATGGACGGTTCCGCAAATTCTGATCAGTTAAGTTTGACTGTTTCAGGTACTTCAGAGCAGATAAGTTTATCATCTGTATGTGATGATATGAATGTTCATCAAATTGTTTCATGTGAAACAATTGCAACTCAATCATTAAATAATGAATCTCGTGTAGAATCTGTGTTATTAATGACATCAAGTGTCAATGCTGATGGGATTCAGAGTGTCTCCACACAAGTGACATCCCAAACAGAGATACCACCAACAAAAATTGACGAAATAGTTGAAGATGGTTACACCTGTAGTAATGGCCCAACCCAAGTTGAATATAACGCTGAATATGACGAAATTAAAGAGGTTAAACGACGTCCAGGTCATCGTCGGAATGAAAGTACATCATTCAAACCATCTTTGATTCCTGTTTTAAAAAAAAAAGATGTTGAGACAAAAATCCAAAAAAATGTAACGTCAGATTTTGATGATGATGTTGCTGAAAGTGATAAATACAAAAACGTAACCTCATTAACTCTCAAAGAGGATCGTAATGATGAGAAAAAAGATGTTGATGAAACAGAAAAAGTATATGAGGAATCTTTTCAAACTGAAGCTGATCAAGGATTTCACCGGGATATGAGAGAAGCCCGCCAAGCATATGAAGATATGTCCAGTCTAGAGGAAGAACATGAAGACCTTCAGAATATCACAGAAAGTCGGCCCCATTCACAGATAAGTAAGTCCGACTCAGAAAGTGGGCAAAGACCAATATCATCTGTGTTTTCTGACGACAGACCTGATTCAGAATTGGCTGAGCTTTTAAAACAGTGTTCATCCGATGTGTGTTCTGAAGATCCAATAGAGAGACCCAAAACACCAGAACCTTTAGAAGACTGTGAAATAAAAGATGATACACCTGAGTTCTCATCTGAAGCACAAGCAAGTGTTACAGAGCTGGAATTAGAATATTCTGGAGCAGTTAGTCGTACTTTAGAATACGAAGATCATGTTAGTCCTATTCGAGAAAAGGTTAGTTCTCACTGGGAACACTCAACATTAGAGCATGAAGAGGAACTTGCTGAAGCAGAAGCTGCTTTCCATATGGTTCCTCATGTAATACCACATTTGGGTGGAGTTCCCCATCCCGACACAATTCTCGAAGATCCAGTTGCAGAAAAACATGAACTTGAAACAAGAGAAATGTTACTGAAAGAAGAAATTCGCAAAAGAATTGCTAAAGCAGAGGCTACATCACCAGGATCTATTCCAGATATTACAATCACCCAACATATGACACCTCTCATTGATCGTGGTTTTCACTACCCGGATCTAGAGTTAGAAGAAGCTGATGCCAAAGCTTCAGCCCCTCAAACTCCCGCTTCAATATCCAGTAGAGCATCAACAGAAACTGAGACTGATCAAGGAAACGAATACGTTTTGGGTGATGACATAGGTGAGGATTTTATTACTGAAGAGCCTGATATTGGTGAATCATCTGTTACAACAGAAGAAAAAACCGTATTTGAATCTAAAGATGATTTCCACGAAAGAGGTTCCGCCACAGATTCACCAACTAGTGACTCTTTTGAAATGCTAGAAAAACCGGATATTGCAGACGAATTTGTGATAATAGAAGAAGTTGGAAAAGAAGCTCATGAACAAGATATGGAAGGAAAAAGTATGGCTATTGGTAAAAAAAGGATTATAAAAAAAAATGTTGACACGGAAGATATTGTGGTTGTATCACCACCTGCTCCAGTAACTCGAATGACTGAAATAAAATACTATCCTGAGGGAGGAGCAGCATTTCCGTTTGAATCTGACAGTCCACCAACAAATATGGATGGTGCACAGTCCGGAGAAGGAACATCACAGGAGGGTTCACCACCATCTGATATTGAGCAAGAGTACGAAAGTGAAGTTGAAGCTGGGAAAAAATGGATTGAAATGCAATTTCAAGGAGATCAAGCCACTGCAGTATATGGATATGAGTTAGACTATGAGCGAGGACCCCTTGAAGATATCAAAGAAGAACCTGACCTAGAAAATAATAGCAGTCGATTTGGTAGTTTAGGAAGCCAGGTGAGCCAATCTGCAGGAAGCTTTGGTAGTATGAAAGAGTCATTTAGCAGCACTCCTGATTATGATGTTCTTGCAGGTCGAAAATATTTCACAAAATCAGGGGAACATGATGATGTTTCAATGAGCTCTTTGCAAGAATTTGAGAGGCTTGAAAATTTAATTGCAATGGAAATCAATCGGAATAAATCTTCTGGTTCTCAAGATTCTTTGAATAGCTCCGGGAACAGTAAACGACATACAGGAAGTGGAAAAAGTGGCGGAGATGATGTATCATTAGCATCTCTTAAGGAATTTGAAGGACTTGAACATGCTTGTATTGAAGCAGCAAAAATAGAATTGAAAGCAAAAGAGGAAGAAGCAGCACTGTTATCAGAAATAGAAGAAGGCCATGAAAGTCAAGCATCAGAATCTGAAAGTTGTGAAACCATTTCCGCTGGAGGGATTAGAGGTGGAGACTCTGATGAAGAAGACTATGAAAAGCGAATGTTTGAAATTGATGAGATAATTAGGCAAGCCCAAAATAACGTTGAACGATTTATCGATGTAAAAGAAAAAGATAGTTTAGTGGAAAGTAGTGTGATTGAAAAAACTGAATCGATGGGTAGAGGAGACTCAATTGAGGAAGTTTCTAAAATCCCTGACCTTGATTTGGACCAACCCCTTCATTCTCTTGCAACAACTTCCGCATTAACTCAATTACATACTGGGCCAGCAACTCAACAATGGAAGGAAAAGGGAAGTGACACTATAATATGTGTCAGCTCTAAACATTTTAGTGATAATATCACTACCAGTACTGACAGTCTTGAAATAAAGACTTTTAATGAAAGAGATAATATGTCAGCAAGTACTGATTCAATTGAATTCCAGGCCCAGCAGAAAATGTTAAAATCAAAAGATATAATGACAGATTCAATAGAAGTCCCTGGGGACAAAACTTCAATGTTAACTTCAACAGATTCTTTGGAAACCGACAATGCAAAATGTTTTTCAGATTCTATGGATGATGAAGATGGAGGTCACAACACAGCGTTGCAAGATCAAAGTAGCTCCAGTGGAAGGGAAGGTGATTTCAGTTTTTCAAGTAAAGATGACTTTTTGGAACAAAACAGAATGCCTCCTTCTCGATCTGACCTTTTACTTGGCAGTACAGATTCACTAGAACCTTCTAGTTCTACTGCTACTAATGCAACTTACCACTGTGAAAATGACTCTGTTATGTCCTCTAGTTTTACTAGTGTAGGATCTAATACTTTGATGTCTAGTACAGAAACATTAGATACAGGTTTACGAACTGCTGTGTGGTTTGATGATTGCAAACCATTTGTCACTGAAGTTATTGAGCCTTGCGAGGAAGGTGATGGCTTTGTTCATACCATTCATAGAACAGTTGAAATGCCACCAGAAATTCATAATGTTACTTTCAAAGGTTCAGATGCAGATAGAGCTTTAAAAGAATACATTGAACAGTTTGGTCCAGGTGAAGATGTTACTGAAACACAAGAAATAGACGCAGCTGGAAATGTACATACTATAAGAGTCGTCCAAAAAAGAGTTGTCATGAAACCAGATGATTTAAAGAATCCTAATTCTAGATTGTCTGAATCAGAGATTGACGAATATTTAAAACTGACTTGTGATGAGAGAAATACAACAAGTGAATCTAGAAAAGAAACTCCCATGTTTACTTCTTCTCCTGCCCAACAATTCCTACCACATCAAACCATAACTCAAATCATTTCCCAATCTCCCAAGCAAGAACTTATTTCTTCCCTTGTAAAAGGTAGTTTCCATTGTAAAAATCGTTTTCTAAAACTACATGACCATAGAACTACAATAACCTTTTTCCTTTACCATCTGGAGCAATAACTTGGAATGTGAACATTTAGGGACCAAACTATTTAGAAAATGAATTAATACAACATTAATATTCTTTATTGTCATAGCTTGGAGTTAAATATGATATTATAATAATATTTCATAACATTTGATGATATTTTATTAAACTATAATAATAGAAACATAATAATCTTGATATTCAAGTAATTTGATCAGCTTAAATATTAATGTGTAGTTGTCTGAAAGTTTACTTCAAATTAAGTAAATTCTTAGCGCATAGGTGGGTCAAAATCTTGTTTAGCTGAAGCTAAGTTAAAATATTTAACTAAGACTCCACCATGTAATTGAAAAAACAAAGGATTTAATGTTGTTCTAATGGTCTTGTGGTTGTTGTTCAAAATGCATGAATGTTTTAGGTTTTTAACAATTAATTGGTTTTTTTTTAAGCATGTTTAATATAGCCTACTTAACCGTCATTATTTTTGGATTTCTCAACCAAACGTATTGGGATAGATAAGTTATTTATATTGTGCTAAATCATGTACAGCTTTCAGTTTACAAGAACAGTACTGCAGTAAGGGTTTTCAACTAACTGGTCCTTTCATTAAACTTTAAATGTATTTAAAATACTATATTTGGTATCTAACCACCTATGGTCATCATTCTATCATTTTTTTATTATTAAAATTTACCTTATTTTACTGGACTCCTGGTAGTAAAGTTAATTATTTTGGTTATTTCAATAGTCCACAATATAATTGTTTTTAAGTTATTTTATTTTTAAGGGCTAATAATTATCTCCCCTAACCATCTCAAGAAGCCTAGCTTTATGTAACAAAAGTATGACAGATATCACATTTTGCCACTACTAGTCCAAATAGAAACTCAATCTGATATGAATATCATATGGTTGAATGGTATTTGAAAACATTAATTGTGATTATTGGTAGCCTACACTTAGATTAAGTTGCTTGTATAAAATTCAATAAGTATCCTCATTAAAACATTACAGTAAAAAAACTGTATTTTGTCACTCTAAAATAGATTTTTACCATATGTCTATAAATACGGTAGGTACAGGGTGTTTATAAAAGAATCATCAGGTTATAATGGCATGGACATCAGGCAATTCTTGTCCCACATTAATATTTTAAACATGTGCTTAGAAAGCATGTTTCCATGTTTTATAATCAGCTGCTCAATAATCAGTCTTGGTTTTCCTTGGACGTGTTTTCATAATTTTCAAAATGATTAAAATTAAAGAAAAAAAATTGTGTGTTTTTCATTATGACTCAAGTTCAAGTTCATCTTTAATAACCATCCAGAGTGAGTTTCGTAGGCGTTTTAGACAGACTCCTCCTACATACTAAAGCATTATGTTGGTATTATGGTGGTATCGCTAGTTTGAAAACTCTGCCTCATCCTCCTCCTTAATATCTATGTTCGTAACTTCAATGAGAAGCTACCTCAAAGGTGGATTGGCAGATCTAACAATAATGACTTGGCCCTTCTCGAATGGTTCCTTATATCTCCTGATTTTACGGTGTGTAATTTTATTATATGGGGCTATGTAAAAGACAAAGTTTATGTACCGCCAATACCTCAAACGCTTCAAGAGCTCCGTGGACGAATTCGCAATGCCGTAGAATCAACCAACCTTGCGATGCTATCCGGTGTATGGGACAATTTACAGCATATTGAAAACTTGCTCCATTGATAATGGACGGCACATTGAGCACTTCTAGGGGTATCTATGACAAATTTAAGAGCTATCCTTTTTGTTGATATGTTTTATATCCGTATTTGTTGTCAATAACAAGTTTTAAAACCTGATGATTCTTTTATAAACGCCCGGTATTTCATATGTTCAATTTCTCAGAAAGTAGTGTTTTCATGTAATGCAATGTAATTATTTTTATGGCAGGAGAAACAACGGGGGAGGAAGCTGAAGGAGTACCCTCATCAGCTGCTACCAGAGGTTATTATTATTGCTTTACATTGGATGCAATGCATGTCATATAGGTAGTGCTTACTCTTGGAAGAGTATGTTGTGATTGGTTATGACTCATTTAGGTTTGCCTGGGTCAAGATGTACTGCTGTAAATACGGAACACTGTAATATAAGTTTTAAGGTTTTATCCTAACAACTGAATTTCATTCTTGAAAAAAGAGTGCCAGTTAGAGTAGTAGTTTGGTTTTATTTCAATAACACCAAACTTTTAGTTCTTTACTGATTTAGTAATCTTCCCATTGAACAATAATTGTCCAACTGTTTGAATGGTGTATTGTACTACAGACGGCTAAGGTATTACACATGTATTAAAGACCCATTGGTATTTCAAAATTACCTGTATGGGCTTAAATATGTTCGGGTGGTTGACAAAAATGATATTTTTCGTATTAGGTTAGGAAAAAAAGATTTTGATTATTTATTATGTTAATTTGCTACTACTGTTCTATACATTTACATATGAATGCCATAGAGTCATGTTTTAAACCCGTACAACTAATACAATGCCTATAAATTATCTAAACATTCATAAGGGTATTTTCTAGGAAATCTTGGATATAACTTGTTTCCTAAAAATAGTGTGTAAAAGTTAAACAGACTTATTAAAATACATCCATTTCCTTATTATTGATGTATTCATGTATTATCTACAAATAAAATTAAACCCCCGCCGCAGCAAACCTGCCGACTAAGCGAATTTCAATTTGTCTGAATTATGATTTTTAATGCCTGAATAAGTGCCCATCAAACATAGATAAAAAATATAACTTATCGTAAGGTACCTCTTCTTGGCTTCACGCATGTTTCTCTGCATTTCTGATTGTACTGTAATCTTCTGCTAATAGCTGCATGACATATTTTCTGAAATTCTTAACTCTTTCAAAATTTTTTTTTTATTAAATTTGTTTGAATAGAATGTGTAACAGTGGAATCTTACTCCATATACTGAAAAAATTGGAAATTTATAGGTGGAAGTAATATAAAATTATGTTCAATCCATTACTAAAAAGACTTTTCACTTACAAAATATTTATTTTTGTATTCACTTATGGTTTGTTTTTGTTTGTGGTGAAATTTTAAATTGTATTATGGACACAGGTGTTGGGAGGGGTCATAGACAGCACCTAAACATTATTTTAATTACTTTTTGCTATACTATGATTAGGCCTACTGCATTTCTTAATTTTTTATCACACCCTGATAAATCACATTTTACCACCCTCTCCTCCTTTATATCATGTACCTATGGTTTTAAAGTATAGGTAAAAAACATTTACCTTGCTATAATATAATGTCCTTTTAAATATGATCTAGATTATTGGACTACAAAAATACATAATAAACTTTAAAGGAGTTAAACCATACATGTCTGACTCTTAAACCTGAATAACCAGTAACAGCAATTTGTAAAAAGGCAGTCACATCTAAATTTACTCCTTAACCGAACATATTATGCTGAATGATTAAGTTACATAGAATATTACATATTGACTAACAGAGAATAAAGTGTTTTTTAAGCAAAGGTTCTTTTTAAATTTAGTATTTATTGTCTTTCTTGTATATACCTTCATTGTCTTCTGATTATAAATAAAAATGGTTTAATTAATTTATGATAAAAATTTAGGGTGCATTTTTCTGTGTTAAAAAAGAATGTGCTGCGATATTTAAGCATCATGCATCCCCACAAATGATACAATACATACCTACGTAATATTCAACTGTAATTATCTGTCCAAGTTTAAGATTTTAATTTAACAACAACATTAAATCAGGTGTCACTACATCGTTCATCATAATGGCAGCTGTAAAACAAGGCAAAACCAACCATAAATTTTGTTTTGTTCTTTGCCAAATTCATTCACGATTAAATTCAAGTTCTACATTATACATTGGAGTTTAAATGTTTTTACAAAGTAGGCTAAGTGAAAAGAGTGAGTATTACAGTAGTGTTGTCAGAGAAAGAGGTGGTGTGGTGGTGAGCGCATGTAGAGTAGTAACGCTTGGCTGTGTGTGTATTGCTTGCTAGGGTCGCGGCCTCCACTCAAGTATGACATAAGCATGGACGAAGAACCAGAATTTGACCCTCGAGAACACGACTGGCGGTTCAACCTCCCGACTTACTCTGGTACTTCAGCCGATCAATTAACCTCTAATTTAATATAACAGATTTATTTCTCAGTAATTGTTTTTGTTTTTTTTATCATGTAATATTCTTATGTGGGTTCTAAAATTCAAAAAAAAGAGTTTAAAATGTGTGAAAAAATTAAGTCTTTAGTTGAATGTTTAAATGGAATACAGCATGTTCTAGCAGAAGATGTTGTAAACCGCTTTAATTCACAAAATGCATCCTACTCGCATGCGGAACAATAACAAGTGTATTATGTTCTGTCATTTCCTAATTATTTATATGCTATTTACAGAAACCGAGGAGGCACTTGCAGATTTAGCAGCTGGAATACAAGACAACAAAGGGTAAATATAATTTTTTTATTTATACCTTTGGCAAAGTGGGAAATAATGTAGACTCCACGTCAGTGACCCTCACTACCAGCAGAGATGGTTAGGATAATCCCTAGACCGGCCTTATTTTTGCTTCATAAGTTATTTTAGTTACCACCGTTAATCAAACTGTAAATTTTAAGTTGCAATTTTGAATTAAAACAGTAAACACATACAAATAGGTACTTCTTACAATTCGGCTACATTCAAAATTATGGGTACCAATTACCAAACAAGCTATGATTTATTAGGCCCACCTAAGTTTATCTTTACAGAAAAGTAATCTAAATAATTGTTAACAACCTCCTGACAATTAGAATAAATAGAAACAATGTGGTTCTAGACATGTTTTAATGCAGGAACTAAATATTTCAAAACAGATAGGTACTAAATAATTGCATAAGTTTGTTTGACTGAATTTGATCATGGTCAGGTCAGTATGCCACTGACCTGACCATGATAATTACTGGTCATTAGTATAGAAATTCGGTAATTCAAAATCTTGAAATAAACCCGCCGCAGCAAGCCTGCAGACTAAGTGAATGTCTATTTGTCTGATTTTTACTCACATATTTCCATAAGCAAGACATGTTTATTTCACATTTAAATAAATATAACATTAGATTTCACGAGTACTTAGGTTTGCTGCTACGGGGAAGGTAAAAAGTGTTTTCGTTCAAATGTTAATATTATAGGATGAAATAAATACATTTGCCAAATTTGATCAACATACATCCATAAACAAACTAGCCACAACAGTTTTCTTTTTCCCCTTAAGAATTATAAAGGAATCTCAAATGTACAGTATTTTAGCGAATTTCCCATATAGGGAAAAAGCTATTATACAGTAGTACTCATGGTAAGACCTGGACCCGGGAGCAATTTACTTTTTGCTTTGAGGTCCCTAGAGGCAAAAAACACCATCCGTTCAATTTCATATATATATATATATACCAAATTTCATCAAATTTGGAGCAAAAATTGTAGAACTTAAAAAAATAAATAATTTAGTATATTAAAGCGTTACTATGCGCCTAGTGGTTACGGGATAAATTAAAAAAATTGTAAATTTATAATTCCTATGTTATTCTTATGGAGAATAAGTAAAGTGTTGTAGTTTGCTTGTTTGTTTATGAACATATTTTGATCAAATTTGGAAAACGCATCCACTAAACTATTAACACTTGACAAAAAAAATACTGTTTTACCCTCCCTGTTGCAGCAAACCTTAGTACAGTAAGAGTCTTCATCACCCTGCGTTTTGGGGATATGACCTTGGGGGAATGTGTTGAGGACAGGTGGGTAGCGCCGGGTCATTATGCGCGCCATTCTGAAAACATCGTAAGCACATGACTACTAAATCGACACGTCGGTGATTCATCTGCCGCCTGAGCTAAGTTTTGTAAAAGGCTAGTAGCAAAGTAGCCTCTGACAAAACATGTAAATTTCGTCCCTCGTTTCGGAGGCCGTTTTTCAACAGATTTTCTTGAAATTTGGTAACAATGTAGTTGAATAGTTGTATTAGAGCTCTTATACCTCAAAAGGTTGAAAATGAAAAAAATATTAGTTTTATCAGTGTCTAAAATTGACTCAATTTACGTTACTTTAAGATTTTTTTGTACTTATATTATTGATTTTATTGGATATATCATGTATGAGGGCCCTAGAACCAAGATTAATCTGTAAGGGACAAAAGTTATAACATTATATCTTCACACATTCCACCCAGAGCGAGGGACGTCCAAGGCATGTTTTTATTGTTTTCGCAGGGGTGAAGAAGACTCTTAAGTAGGGAATAAATGTGATATTTTTAAGGAGATATTTTAGTGTAAATCCAATCAGGCGAATGGAAATCCGCTTAGTCTGCAGGTTTGCTGCGGCGGGGGTTTTATTATTTTTTCCATAGCCTTTAATTTCACAACAATGCTCACACAATTATTTTTATAAGCTCTACTTGCTTGATGGTCCTATTGAAAATTGGGCATTTCCATGTTTTAAGGGGAACCATTTGAATAAACCAATTTTTGAAAATTTTAAAACCCCATAATACCCTGTCCCATCACCCGATCTTGCTGGTTCACGTCAATTTTATCCCGCTCTACACCTTCAAGCCAAATTTCATAAAAATCTGACCAATAACATGAAAATGAAAAATTAAATCGGTCCCAGGCTTAGGTATAACCGTGCCACCAACGGTAATATCATTGAGCATTGTTGTGAAATTAAAGGCTATGGAAAAAATAATAAAACCCCCGCCGCAGCAAACCTGCAGACTAAGCGTTAGGCGCACAATAACGCTTCATTATACTAAATTATTTGTTTTTTTTAAGCTCTACAAAATGGTTTGGAAAGAAATTGTGAAATTTTGTGTTTTTAGGGTCAAAAATGGGAAAACCCTATTTTAACCCCATAAAACCCCGTTCCCATAGTCCAATCATGCTGGTTCGCGAACTCGTTCGAATTAATGTAGGTTTACACGTTTATACCAAATTTCATCAAAATCGGATCATTTTTGCTCGAGTTATCGTGCTAACGGACATATATATATACCATATATATATATATATATTCATATATATATATATGAATTTGAACGGATGGTGTTATTGGCCTCTAGGGACCTCAAAACGAAAAGGTCTTACCATGAGTAGTACTACGGTAATAGCTTATTCCCTATATGGGAAATTCGCTAAAAAACGGTATAGTTTTGCAAATTGGCTTAAAATGACAGTTAACCCATTGGGGAAGGAATTAATGCGCTACCTGCAGCACCCTCTGGCGGCAATAAATTTTACCGAATTTGTAGACTTTTACTCTAACTGCTATAGAAAGAAAACCTTAGGTAATAAATTAATAATTCTTTCACCATTTTGTTCACAGTAAAATTGTCTACAGAAAAGTGGTAATTGGATAGTCAAAGTTCTAAACTAAAATATATATATATATATATATATATATATATATATATAAAGATTATAAAAATAAAAATTTTAAAAACAATATTTTGAAAGTAAACTTGATATACAAATTCCAAGATTAATCCAGACACCAAATAACACTACTATTATAAAGTTCAATCGATTCCCTACGTAGAAAAATCAAAAGTTGTGTACTTTTATAAGTAATAACATTTTTTTTTTATTGTTTGTTTACCTTACCGCAGCTGATTTTTGGTGATATTTGGTTTCCATGGCAACACACAATTGTTTGTTATTCGCTAAAATAAATGAGTAAATACGCAAATCAAGAAGCAAGATATTTATAAACATTATAATAGTAAGAAGAAACAAAAAGGGCGAAAAAAATAATAACTAAATAACTAATGGCGCTGCCTAGCGGTGACACGAGCGGCACTCGTAAGTCGGCCGGCGGGCCTGCAGCGGCCGTACGAGTAACGCTCGTAAGTCGGCGCCAATGGGTTAAGGCTCCTACTTTATTCTACCAAAAGTCTCCTAACATGATATTATTTCAGTTACTGTTTTGATGTAATTTTACTAATTAAAAAAACTACATTTTTAACCATTGTAACTTGGGGCCAATGTTTGTATATTTATTGGGATGATAATAATACTGTAAATTTACAGATTGTTGTATATGGATACAACAAACACAACACAAACATACAAACAGATAGAACATAATTTGGGACTTGTTCTGTTTTATTGGGTACCGGTATTGCAAACATAGGAAAATTATAATTAATTTTTATAGCCCCAGGATTGCGTTTTATGACTAATTATAAAAACATACCTTGTCAGACAATCCTTGACATGTTTTGTAGTGTCGAAAATAGCTTGCTACATGTTTCGGTGGTTCTTCAATTCCACCATCGTCCGGCACACAAAAGGATCCACTTCTTGAGGTGTCGTCATGGAGTTGTTACACACATTTAATACAAACACAAAACAAGAAACGATTAAATACGGTAACAGATAGGCCTTCGTGTTTTGTGTTTGTGTTAAATGTGTGTAACAACTCCATGACGACACCTCAAGAAGTGGATCCTTTTGTGTGCCTGACGATGGTGGAATTGAAGAACCACCGAAACATGTAGCAAGTTATTTTTGACACTACAAAACATGTCAAGGATTATCTGACAAGGTTTGTTTTTACCACAATTAGCCATAAGAAAATTACAGTAACCCAAGCAATGTAGCGACAAATTTCAAATAGATGATGTATTTGTATACATTGATGGTCACAGATCTCAACGATAAATCTAATTTCATGGTGGAATGGCCTCTGGATCGTCTGAATTAACTATATAGTGGTTTAAATTACCTTGTTACTGTCAAAACGATCCTTTGTAGTTAGTAGACTACAGCTGTTTCATGCTACGAATGGAGCACATCATCAGGTCAGAAGAATGTCAAGTAGTCTTCATATTCCTCGCAGTGGAGTTCGTCAAAAGTTTAATAATAAATAGAGAACAAAACACATAACACACGGAAACACGAAACATTTAATATTTTCCACGGTGTGTTGTTACCGTCGTCTGGTCGACCAATATTAAATGTTTCGTGTTTCCGTGTGTTATGTGTTTTGTTCTCTATTTATTATTAAACTTTTGACGAACTCCACTGCGAGGAATATGAAGACTACTTGACATTCTTCTGACCTGATGATGTGCTCCATTCGTAGCATGAAACAGCTGTAGTCTACTAACTACAAAGGATCGTTTTGACAGTAACAAGGTAATTTAAACCACTATATAGATAAATCTAAAAGCGAACCATAACAGATTGGTTTTGTCCAACGTCAATTGTCCAAAAATAAGTTGTACAGTCTAGTTTAGGTGGCAGCATAGCAATAGCAAAGCATGACACGACTACCATAATGGTGTGAACTGTGCTGCATAAATATCGCTTTCTTGAGCTTTACAGCATTCAGGATTCAAATGTCAAACCCAAAGACATTCTTGAAACTTTAACTGTTGACCTAAGAACAGGCTTGCATTTTCTGTAGTGTTGTAATATTTGCATACACTATGATTGTAACGTTGTTTCAGGAGCAGTTCTGGTGCAGATCCCTCCAACTACAAGTAACAAGCAACTCCCCACATCAATGTTACCACTTCACTGACATGTTCATCCATCCTATATATTTTGTTGTCATATTCTATTTGTTTTTCTGTACAGTTAAACTTTACTTTATTCTAGTTGAACAAAGTGTAGTTTATTGATAACTTGTGTTACATTCGAGTGTCATCAAATGAAACTCCCCTGTCACACGATATGAGTTTTTCCTCTCATGTATGTTTGGATGGTTGTCTTATCCAATACTTAAGCTATCCAACTTGTTTCATAGGAACTACGCTATACACGTTATAGACAAAAGCATCCAGCTATGATGAGCTTAAAGCCTCACGCTTAAAAACCTATTGGCTTTGTCCCATAAGATATTTCATATGACTTCACTTACTAAAAAGTAACATTGCAACAGAAATTATTTTTATAGAAATAAGTTGCAAATAATGCAAAGATGTGACAGAACGTATTTACAATAATATCTCAATATAACAAACAAAAAGAATAAAATTCCCTTTCAGAATGCCGCTTTATTCAGGGTGATTAAAGGTAATCTACCTTATTTGTGTATGAGTACTACTGACGCTCTTCATCAAAACTTACCTAAGACACCATAATTTAACACTGCAAAATATTTAGCATAAAATGCATCCTATGTGAACTAGACAAAAATATTTTTAATTAAGAAGTGAACTCATTATATTTACTAAGTATTATTTTATAGAAATAGTAACTTTTTAACTGTAAAAATTATATATATTTATACATATTAAAGGCTTAATTTTGTTTGTGCTAGATATTATTTTCTATTGTTGTCGATAGTTAGATAGTCTTTTGTTACCTTTTCATTTGTTACTGTTAATCTATTATAGTTTTTTTCTGTATTATAATAACAATATAATTGTTAAATTTATATAGCGTATGCTACTTAAAGTCAAAACAACAAAATACTGAATATTTGAAGTGTTGTTTAAGAATTTATCCATTGATGGATGTTTTTATGCTGGTAAAGCATTAATTGTGGGTGGCTTAATAATGTACAGTTTTAACATTTTGAATATGTATGAAAGTGTAAAAATGTTAAGCGTAAGTGTGCACTACGTAATAACTTGCAGCTTTTGAAGCAGGCTCTGGCCATTTTATAATCTGCCACTCATTGTCTTGTCCACTTTTTTATCTGACATTATTTCAACGGTATGATAAAACAAAAATGTAGTGTTATTTTTTGAAATATTTAACAAATATTTTTATTTTGCTTTTGTTTTATTGTAGTGCAATCATTGTTTGTAAGACTTAAAGAACGATTAAATACTGATAATTAGCGAGTGTTTTCCATCACCTGTTCATACTTTAACGGTAGGCTACCTCATGTTCTTCTGGGCATGATGAAACTGAGTGACATAGTTTTAAAACAAGATAGTTCTTCAAACAAAACCACAATTGGACAGTCACATTTTTTTATGTAGTTTAACGATTAGTAACAAACGATAGGCTAATTTAATAAGAATAAGAGTACCCTAAAGTATGCAGTGGGATCACCAACTAATCCCAAACGTATTGAGCCGTGTGCAGGGTTCAAAGTATACAGTAGGATGACACCTAAACCCAAACTAAATAAGCCGTGAGAAATTTGGACTCTTCAATGAGTATATTGTAGCATCACCACCTAAACCCAAATGTATTGAGCTGTGTGCAGGGTTCAAAATATACAGTAGGATCACACCTAAACCCAAATGTATTGAGCTGTGTGCAGGGTTCAAAGTATACATTAGGATGACACCTAAACCCAAACTAAATAAGCCGTGTGAAATTTGGACTCTTCAATGAGTATATTGTAGCATCACCACCTAAACCCAAATGTATTGAGCTGTGTGCAGGGTTCAAAATATACAGTAGGATCACACCTAAACCCAAATGTATTGAGCTGTGTGCAGGGTTCAAAGTATACAGTAGGATGACACCTAAACCCAAACTAAATAAGCCGAGTGAAATTTGGACTCTTCAATGAGTATATTGTAGCATCACCCCCTAAACCCAAATGTATTGAGCTGTGTGCAGGGTTCAAAATATACAGTAGGATCACACCTAAACCCAATCGTATTGAGCCCTGTGCAGGGTTCAAAGTATATACAGTAGGATCACACCTAAACCCAAACTAAATGAGCCGTGTGACATTTGGACTGTTCAATGAGTATACTGTAGCATCACCACCTAAAACCTCTTTGATGACTTTTTCATCATGATAGATGGGATGCAGTTGGGCGATATGCATTCCGAGTTATGCTGCCTTTGAATATCATGCAATTTGACTTCAAGGGGTCGACTTTGAGGTGTCTGTTCTCAAATTATTGAATACAAGAATTGTTTTTTTTTTTTAACAAAGCAATGAATTTCTATCTGTTCAACACTGTTGGAACTAAAAGAGAGAGTCATGTCGTCCGCGTATTGGACTATACATCCATTAGGTATTGCAAATTTCAAATAATTTACATAAGGAGGGAGCCGAGAATTGATCCCTGTGGGACACCGTATTTCAGACTGGTGGTATATGAAAGTACTCCGTTGACCAGTACTTGCTGGCAGTGGCAGACTCACCATAAGGCACACTAGGTACTCTTCTAGCGACCACATGGCCGGCGAGGTGGTTAGCAGTGAAGATGACTCACGTTCATGTCGGGCGGCCAGCACGGCAATTTTTAAAAGGAAATAACATTAGGGTATGTTGAATGTAATAGGTATATGGCTGCACCCACTACGGTAGGATGTCCGGCAACGTACACTGGCTGCTGAGGATCACCCTTCTTGAAAATTGGAATTACTTTGGCAGCTTTGAGTGAATTTGGAAATTTGCCATTATCAAAAGAAAGATTTATTGATTTGGTGGGGGAGCCACAATACCCTTGTGGCATTTTTTAAATATCAGTAGACATACCATTAACATCCATTGATTTCTTTGCCTTTAACTCAAAAATCTCTTTCTCCGCACTTCCCGTTCGGTTATGCTGGTCAGATACATCAACTCGGCTACGCTGGCCTGCCCAGTATTATATGCCGGGGGTGTTAGGCCAGTAACACTGACATTCACAGAAAAGCTATTTAAGACATTCGCCACCTCCAGCGACCTAGAACAGCCTTACCACCCACCTCCAGTTGAATTGGTTTTGAAATTCTAGCCGAGGGTTTTTTCTCGTTTATGATTGACCAAGCCTCTTTTGAAAAATTAACTGCACTTTTCAACCTTTTGTTTATTTTATTACTTCTTGCTGCCCTCAGTACCTGCCTGTATATTCGATTGTATGATTCAAATGATTTTATTGGCCATTCAGTTACATACAAACAATAGGCTACGTCAAACTAATAATAAATAAACATGTCAAACTTCTTCTTGCACTCTTGACTAACAAGATTAAAGGCTGAAATGAACACATGCAGGAGCTCACTCATTGAATTGTAAAAGGTTTTAAATTCAATGCTGTTGTGGGTTTTTAACTGCCTCTACCGGTAATAGACCTTTAGTATTTCTCTTGACAGCCACGCGTGATCCAGGTGGGTTTTCCTAACTTGGGTTTTTAATTAGAATTTTTTTTGGGGACAACAACGATCAAGATGACAATTGATACAAGCATTTATTGAATTTAAACATTCATTTTTAAATTTAAACATTCATTTTTACTTTCTCCCCCTATACCAGAGTATATGGAGAAAGTATTGTTTTCGTCAAAATTCTAATCCATGGTATCTCTAGGCGTTTTTTTCATTTTTTTTTGAAATTTTGATTTTTAATGGGGATTTTCCCATAAAAACCCATAAAAAACCGGAAAAATCGATTTTCGCAAAAATGGCCTGAACGATTTTGATAAAAATTTAGTATGTTGTAGCCCTTTAAATTCTGAACAAAATAGTACAAATCACATTTCTGTAAAAATTACGGTTCAAATTTATGGTAAATTATGTTATTTTTCCATTAAAAACCCGATAAAATAACAAAAAATAGGATTTTAGACAAAAATCCGGTTTGGATTTAACATAGTATGTTATGGTCCTTACAATTAATTTTGATAGTTTTTTTCATTTTTTAGAAATTTTTATTTTTAATGGGGATTTTCCCATAAAACCCCATAAAATAAAGGAAAAATAGGATTTTCCCAAAAATGGCCCGAACGATTTTGATAAAAATTTAGTATGTTATAGTCCTTTCTATTCTGAACAAAATGGTACAAATCCCATTTCTGTAAAAATTACGGTTCAAAAGTTATTGTAAATTATGTTATTTTCCCATAAAATAACGGAAAATCAGATTTTCCCAAAATTGGCTCGAACGATTTTGATAAAAATTTAGCATGTTATAGTCCTTTAAATTCTGAAGAAAATTGTACAAATCACATTTCCGTATATTTACTCTCACCGTTTACACATGATAAAGGTTGTTGACAAACTTATGGGAGAAAGTATGTGTCAGAATGCTGATACCGTTTATTTAATTTGAACTCCTTCTAACTAAAAGCACCAGCTTTATCTACATATCACCTTGCTGAGCAGAACAGGGTTAACAGGGCATTGAGCCCTGTGACAGTTGCAGTGTTTAAAGTATACAGTAGGATCACCACCTAAACCCAGATGTATTGAGCCCTGTGACAGTTGCAGCGTTTAAAGTACACAGTAGGATAAGTATAGGGTGATTTTTTTATTGGTGCGGTTTTTAAAACTAAATAAAAAAATGAAAAACAACCTGCATTGACATAAAAATGCATTTATTTGAACTACAGTGTCATGACATTAACGTTTAAAAATGATTTCTGGCATATGGGCTCCATTCCGTTTGCGTAGAAAGCCCAATCGAGAAGTCCAATTTTCGAATACTCTTTCCAGCAGCTGTGGTTGAATTCCGCCAATAACTCGACGAATGTTAGCTTCCAAGTCATTTAAAGTTTGTGGCTTGTCAGCGTATACTTGAGACTTAACATATCCCCACAGGAAGTAGTCTGTTGGCATGATATCACACGACCGTGGGGGCCAGTTGACACTACCTCTAAATGAGATGATACGTTCACCAAATGTTTCTGCCAAGAGACCAATTGTGTCATTTGCCGTGTGGCACGTCGCGCCGTCTTGTTGGAACCAGACATTTTCTAAATCCACTTCAAGTTCGTTTAGCTGAGGAACGAAAAAGTCCCATAACATTGCCCGATAGTGTTGAAACTTTAAATGACTTGGAAGCTAACATTCGTCGAGTAATAGGCGGAATTCAACCACAGCTGCTGGAAAGAGTATTCGAAAATTGGACTTCTCGATTGAGCTTTTTACGAGAACGGAATGGAGCCCATATGCCAGAAATCATTTTTTAAACGTTAATGTCATGACACTGTAGTTCAAATAAATGCATTTTTATGTCAATGCAGGTTGTTTTTAATTTTTTTATTTAGTTTTAAAAACCGCACCAATAAAAAAATCACCCTTTACCTAAATCCAAACGTATTGAGCTGTGTGACATTTGCAGTGTTTAAAGTATACAGTAAGATCACTACCAAAACCCACACATTTTAAACCCTGTGACAGTTGCAGTAGTAGAATTACCCAGTGCCGGATTTACCTCTGAATTGAAAAACAGGATTGAAAAAACATTTTTTTAGATAAAAAAATCATTTTTTAAAACAATCAGTTTGCCACGATTGCAGGTGACGATAATGATGTCTGGTCTCCGTGATTGTGGTCCGAGCGAGATGTTCACGAATTCGCCGCAGCCGCGGGTTACAGTGATGATGTCCCCTTAATGCATAGGAGATAATCACAATTACTTCCACGATCGCAAGGAATTTCCACCACAGAGGGAGGGCTGCTCAAGTAATTTGGCCTAGGGCCGCAAGTACCCTAAATCTGGCACTGGAATTACCACCTAAACCCTGACGTATTGAGCCCTGTGACATTTGCAGTGTTTAAAGTATACAGTAAGATCACTACCTAAACCCAGACATTTAAAAACGTTCGCTACTGAGCGTCGCATATATGCGACGCCGCATTCATTGCCACAGACCGAGGAATATATTTGAATCTTACACATAGACCGACTGTCACCTGGTTAACAGTACACCCAGACCACGGGCGAAAACCTGTAAAACAGTGATCATTTACATTGTAATACGCTGCAATCTTGTTTGTAAATAACTTATTCTTGTTTTTTTTTTGTATTTTTTATAACCTTTTGTAATGCTGCATATTTGTCACGCCCGGTCTACAGCGAAGAAAATACAGTAGTGACAGTTTATTTTTTTGTTTTGAGGTGAAAGTAAGTAAAAAAAAACAGATTATTCAAGAACAGTTTATGACTGAGCAAATATAAAAGCTACATAGGATAATGCAGCATACATACTCCATTCATACATACAGTGATGGAGATAAGTAAAGACCAGTTTTTCCAACTATCTTATGACGTCACCAATCATCATATCCACAGACCAAGCGACGCAGTTGTGTGTCAGACATCCCTGTAGACCACTGCAGAGGATTCAGTGTCTTCAAATAGACCGTTACAAAGATATAAGCATTTTAATAACAGTAACTGGGGACCAAGCTTTGCTCAGGTAAAATCATTAGTTTACTATGAAAGCAGTCTTAGTATTGCAGATATGTTAATCCGTAATCCATTCCCAAACTCCACACTGCTCGCATTTACTACTTCCTTCACCACTTCCTACGTCGTGGGCCTGTTTCCTTCCCTTCCCATAACATTTTAAGATTGCAGATACCTTAATTTAAACGTCATAAACAGTTCCCACAATCCGGACTACTCACCATTACCACTTCCTTCACCACTTCCCACGTCGCGGACCTGTTTCCCTCCCTTCCAATAACATTTTATGACTGCAGATACCTTAATCTAATCGTCATAAACAGTTCCCACATTACGGACTACTCGCATTTACTACTTCCTTCACCACTTCCTACCTCGCAAACCTGTTGCCCTCCCTTCCCATATCATTGATTGCAGATGCCTTAATCTAATCTTCAAAAACAGTTCCTACACTTCGGACTACTTGCCTTGACTACTTCACTCACCACTTCCTACGTCACAGACCTGTTTCCCTCCCTTCCCTTAGCATTTTAAGATTGCAGATACCTTAATCTTATCTTCAAAAACAGTTCCCACACTCCGGACTACTCGCCTTGACTACTTCCCTCACCACTTCCTACGTCACAGACCTGTTTCCCTCCCTTCCCTTAGCATTTTAAGATAGCAGATACCTTAATCTTATCTTCAAAAACAGCTCCCACACTCCGGACTACTCGCCTTGACTACTTCCTTCTCCACTTCCTACGTCGCGGACCTGTTTCTCTCCCTTCCCATAGCATTTTAAGATTGCCGATAGCTTAATCTTATCTTCAAAAACAGTTCCCACACTCCGGACTGCTTTCCTTGACCACTTCCTACTTCGCGGACCTGTTTCCCTCCCTTCCCATATCATTTTAAGATTTGCAGATACCTTCATCTAATTTTCATAAACCGTTCCCACACTCCAGACTACTCGTCTTGACTACTTCCTTCACCACGTCCTACGTCGCTGACCTGTTTCCCTCCCTTCCCATATCATTTTAAGATTGCAGATACCTTAATCTAGTCGTCATAAACAGTTCCTACACTCCGAACTACTCGCCTTGACTACTTCCTTCACCACTTCCTACGTCGCGGACCTGTTTCCCTCCCTTCCCATAGCATTTTAAGTTTGCAAATACCTTAATCTAAACGTCATAAACAGTTCCCGCACTCCGGATAGCTTGCCTTGACTATTTCTTTACCACTACCTACGTCGCGGACCTGTTTCCCTCCCTTCTTATAGCATTTAAGGATTGCAGATACCGTAATCTAATCGTCATAAACAGATCCCACACTCCATACTGCTACCCTTGACTACAATGTATCGAGTAAACTTCAGTATATTCTTGCTCAATAGTAATAACTGATGTTTTTCCTTTTGTACTGTATTTTGTTTTGCTAGTATACTGTGAATAGACAACTTACAAGTCTTTTGTTTACTTTTTCCTTGTTATTTAATTCAGCCAAGATGCGGTTACTTACCAACCCATAAGACTAATGTTAAAAAAATGTGACTTTCAGTTTCATTTTTCTACGTAATTAGATTTTTGTTGGCAGTTCTAACTGCAGTAAACCCGTTTTTAGGCCAGAAATAAACTATTTACCAGATTTGAAGAAAATAGTCGGACAAGCAAGCAAGCAAGCATATATACATACAAGCAAACATTGCTTGTATTAGAGTATAGGATTAGAACCCCGACGCAAATATGTGACGGCAGTCTATGGGTAGAAACCGGCCGTCGCATATGTGCGTCGCTGGTCCATCTGAATGAAAAATTTCGTACTATTGCAGTAGCAAACGTGACCCTCTGTGACAGTTGCAGTGTTTAAAGTATACAGTAGAATCACCACATAAACCCATACATATTGAGCCCTGTGTCATTTGCAGTGTTCAAAGTATACAGTAGGATAACTACCTGAACCCAAATGTATTGGGCCCTGTGTATGGTAGATGTGTAATACTGGGTACCATAAATTTAAAGCAGCAAATTCGATCAAACTGTGCCTCCCTCCATTGCAAATGCAAAGCTTGAGTATAACTGCAATAAGCATTTATATTTATATGGCAATCCCGTAAGAAGGATGGGTACTCTGCTACTAAGGTAAATAAATTAGATCAAAAGCAAATAATCATAATTTACTGAAGTTGTGTATGTACATTAATATACAGTGAATAGTTTCTAGTTTACATTTGTACATAGGTATCATTATGATAGATAAAATTCGATATACACATTAAAATGGTAAATTAATAAAAATAGCTTTTAAGTTTTATAATGTAAACATTAAAATTCAAAAATATTACGATAAAACTTGGACTTGATGACACATAACCTTGCTAACCTGATACATTACACATAACATGGTGTACATACATTACACCTTACAGGATTACCCTTATGAAGGATATAGTGATGAGGTACTACAATGAATCAATGCCAATTAAATGAAAATCCACTACCTGACCTATGAATAACCCAAATTAAAATGAACTTTAACCGGGATTCTAGAGTGTATTCAAATCAAATGCACTATCTTTATTTCCAAAATGTACTACTTTTCACCTATTTATAAAAAATAATAATTAATACAATTTTCTTTAGAAACCAACTGAATACTACTATTCTGACTTTAAGTAATAAATATGCATTTAAATATTTTCCGAGTTATTTATTGCATTTCACTTTATAAGAAAATATATTAGCAAGTTAAATTATGTTTACAAGTTGACCACAGGAAGGTAAATTAGGGACACTGTTCTAGGACAAACGATCAAATTAGTTCTAGCTGTAAATCAAAATTTGGCAGGTAGGCTATAGACTTCACTTACATCCAGCTTATTGAGCTAAACAATTATTGAAAAGGATTGTACCAAGTCCATAAACTATGGTTATGGAAGGATTTACATTTTAATGTTTATTCTACAGTAATACTTTAACACGTTCGCTACTGAGCGTCGCATATATGCGATGCCGCGGTCATTGCCACAGACCGAGGTATACGTTTGAATCTTACACATAGACCGGCTGTCACTTGGATAACAGTACACACAGACCACGGGCGAAAACCTGTAAAACAGTGATCATTTACATTGTAATACGCTACAATCGTGTTTGTAAAGAATTAATTCTTGTTTTTTTGTATTTTTTATAACCTTTTGTAATGTCGCATATTTGCGACGCCCGGTCTACAGCGAAGACAATAGTGAAAATTATCATAGTATTCTTGAAATAGACTAAACGTCGCATATGCGACAGTTCATTTTTTTGTGTTTTGAAGTGAAAGTAAGTAAAAAAACACATTAATTAAGAACAGTTTATAACTGAACAAATATAAAAGCTACATATAATAATGCAGCATACATACTGCATACATACATACAGTGATGCAGAAAAGTAAAGACCAGTTTTTCCAACTATTATATGACGTCACCAATCATCATATCCACAGACCAAGCGACGCAGTTGTGCGTCAGACATCTCTGTAGACCACTGCAGGGAATTCAGTGCCTTCAAATAGACCACTACAAAGATATAAGCATTTTAATAACATTAGAACCCCGACGCAAATATGCGACGGCAGTCTATTTTAATATCACTAGCCGACGCATATATGCGACGGCAGTCTATGGGTGGAAACCAACCGTCGCATATGTGCGTCGCTGGTCCATGTGAATGGAAAATTTCGTACAATTGCAGTAGCGAACGTGTTAAAGGCGACTAGATGTATTGCTAGATCTGGACCATAGTTTAACGGATAATTTTAAATTAAAATGTCTGTCAATGAAATATGTTTGGTTTTTTTTTTTTGTATTAGACTACATAAAGTAGTGTTGTTATAAAAGTAGCAATCAATACTACTTAAAAAATAGGATTCTTTATTACCTAGTCACATTTTTCCAAAATTGATAAAACTGATAAGGTTTGAGTTAGTACTTTCAATGCCTTAAATCAATGTACTGTAGGCGAGAGTTAAGAAGTCCTCTGAGCACTGGCCTATTCTGAAAATGCAGGCGCTTGCTACTCAATGGCTAGGCGCGCCAGGCGGGTTACTCATGTTCCACGCGGCAGTCAGGGCTCACATCCACTGTGTTAAAACCAAAAGAGCACCTGCAAATACCGCGCGGCAACATACAAACATTGCTCCATATCACTCTGGCTCAGAGGACTTCTTCACTCTCGCCTACAGTACACATGCATGCAAAAACTAAATAAATATGAAACAATTGACATGGTTGGGTATATCTTTATGTTGGTCTCGCTTACAGTTTTGTTGTGTCCTTATTATATGTAGGCCTACATGTATAATTCATTCACAGTTAATCAAAACAATAACAAAGTAACGGCAAATAATAAAACGATACAATACAAATATTTTTTTAATGATGAAAAAAGTAGATTTTTGGTTGTTAGGATTTAATAATACATTAGACTGATAAACGTGATAGGCTATTTTATAAAAAAAACTCCCAATAGTAGGCCACCGATATTTATAAGTAATACCATTGACTGTTGTTGTATTAATAGTCAAAGGTAATACTCATTAGTGTTTAAATATGTTAACAGCTTTCATGGTAACAGCTTTCATGGGTTTAGTAATTTTCTTTCAAGAAAAATATACTTTTTTATTCAATTTAAATTTGAATTATTGACAGAAAAATTGCTTGATAACTTATGCAACAGGTTTAGTTTTGGAAAATAGATTTTACTATTTTTTAAGGGTGAAAAACAGTTTATATTAATATTAACCATTAGCCCTATAACAAATCTTAGTTCATCGAGCCATGGATTTTTAAACTAATGATATGTTTTTCCAGGGCAGTCGCTCCGTATATTGGCGCCCGGGGTGGGATATTGTCAGGCCCCCCAAACACACAATGAGCTCTTGGTGAGTCGCGTAGCTGTCTGAGACATTATCATCGGCCTCCACGATTGCGGAAAAATCCTGAATACCTCCTGTGGTCACTAAAACGTCATCACTCTCTTCGGTGATTGCAACAAAATCCTGAATATATTCATCACTAACGGAAATATAGTCATTGACCTCTGTAATTGCGGCAAAATCAAGATTATCTCCGCAGTCATAAGAACATCATCATCGACTTCCGGGATTAAAGGTAAAATCCTGAAAAACGCCCCCAAAGACGCCGCTTCCAAGCCACCACTCTGCCCACGGCGGCCCTGCTTTTGACAAAAAATTGCAATTGACAAGTGGAAAACATTGTCCTGATCAGCATCGGTCATGATGATGTATGGATGCTAAACAATCCCAATGCGTTCAACAAATGCTACGTGGCTTCAGTGCTGGTGTCTGGGTGAAGAACGTTCAACATATCTGCCATTTTGTGCCTCAATACACTTTTGGCTTCCTTCATTTCAACTTCGCCAAGTTTCAGTTTTTTCTGAACCTAAACAAAATATTATATTAATTGGTGTTATAATGCTGAGATCTAAAATCAAACTAAAAAGTTACAAACAATTTACAAGCTTTTAATAGAAAACATTAAAAAACAAAAATATTGTTTAAAAACTGTTAACTTTCTCTTAACATCTCCCTGTAGATGTTATGTTGCAGAGCAAACATGCTCTAAAAGATACAAGCTCAAAAAGAACTATAGCAGAAGTATCATGGTGTCAGCTAGTATTGGGATATAAAAATAAAGGGTGATCAACTTAACTGTGCCGTTCAAAGGTTTATTGCGGACATTTTCCGGACATTTTCCAATACACAACGTTTCGGGATCTGGAATCTGATCCCTTCCTCAGGTAAAAAACACTTAACTAACACATTACAACTAACAATACACAAACACCCAACCTAAGTTGTAATACACTACAGAGGGTAGCAGTAAAAAAATATGCACTGTATAGCAGTCAAGTCATGATACAACATGCAAATAATAACCAAATCATCAAAATTTCCCATAAGGAAACTCATTTTTTCAAACGTAAACTCATTGAAGCCTCATACATTAAATTAGCAGACCAACCAATCAGTCAGTCTTCGGTCGAAATTAGGCCACTGTGGCTACCCATTTTGAACAAGGAACTAAAGGATGTTGGTAATAGAACCCTAACCAGTCGCAAAAGTGTTAGGAATCAGCCGATGATTAGGTATATTTTGTTCGATAGAATATGTAAAGCCAATCGTCCCTTTAAGATGAATACCACCACATAAACTTACACTAATTGTAGTATTGTTATGTTGATCAGAAAAAAATCTAGGGTTAAATTTGGTCAATGGGATGCCTTTACTTTACACTAATTTTGTTAAACCTTAACAAAAGGAGTATACACTTAGAAATATTAACTGGGTAGGGATGCTAATTTAGCGGTTTTGGCCAAGAACTAAGCTTACCTCAACACCTTTATTTGCATTTTCATATTATTTTGACGAAGACAATTTCCAAAATTCTAATCAGGGAAGCATTTTTTATGACCATTAATCACAAAACCAAAGCTACCTTAATATACCAGTATTTATTCACAAACAATTATATGTTTGCTGCTTTTAGCTGGGTTAAACCTATGGGGCGATTTAAATTATTTATTGAAAATAACATCAACAAAAGCAAACAAAGACAAACAACAAACTGTTTTTTACACAAAAGAAATGGTGTATGTATAGGGATATTATATTCTGACACATACATAATATATTTCTGAGTTTGTATGGATATTAAAATAATTTGTTTCATATTATCAAGTTTGTATATATTTATTATGTGTAAACTATTATAATGCATGATTTGTACTGACATGTCACATATTCATTGCTGATATTCAGCCTCTGTATTATGAATTTTTGTGATGAATAAATTGATTTGATTTGAATAATAATCTCTACCTAATTTAAAAATCACAGCCTCTTATATCCAAATCAAAAAATTCATTGATGTGGTATAAAGGCCTACTTTGAAGCCAAACATATAATTTACTGTTAAATGCATTGTCAGAAATACTTTGAAGTTCCAAGGGCAGTATGTTGAACAATTTGATTCCCAATGAGTTATGATAGTTATTAGTTAGACTTAACCTATTTTTTTGGAATTTCCAGTTTGCATTTATTTCTAGTGTTGTGTTTATGAATTTCATTTCTTTTGACCAATAAATTAACATTCTTTTTTATCAAAATCAGAACCTTATAGATGTATAAATTTATCACTATCAGAATCCCAGTTTGTAAAAATAATGGTCTACAGTGATCTAGGCTATCTGCACCTGATAAAATTCGGATAGCTTTTTTCTGTACTATAAGAACATGTTCGATTCCAACACCATTACCCCACACTATAAGACCATACCTAAGCAAACTTTCAAAAAAAGGCATAATATGCCATTTTTAAGTACTTATCTGATACAAGTTTTATTAGGTTTATCAGAAGGTAAATTACTATGGACAATTGTTTACAAACATTTTCAATATGAACTTTCCAAGAGAGCCTACTATCAATAGTAATGCCTAGTAACTTAACAGGTGAACAGTTTTCTAAATCTACATCCCTAAAGAAATTAGCAAATTACATGTTTTACTTTCATTTAAATACAAGCTATTTTAATTAAACCAATTGACAGTATCAGTAATTGAGGTAGTTACCACACGTTTAAGTTCTAAATTGACATCATTAACATTTAGTAATCTAGTGTCATCTGCATAAATAATAGTCTTACAAGTTAAGTTATCAGGCAAGTCATTCATTAAAACTAAAAATAGAATAGGCCCTAATACTGAGCCTTGGGGCACACCTTGGTTCACACAAGCAACATCAGAACGTATGCCATCCACCCCTACTATCTGTTTGCGGTCCACCAAATATGACTTTAATATTGAAAGCTCTCTGTTAGGATAGGAATAAACAGAATTAACACCCATTTTGCGGCATCGTAAATCGCTCCGCTATTTTGTTGGTTTATTTTCCATAGGGACCGGACGCCATTTCTGTTGTCTCCGTGTTTCCGATTGGTCGGCCATGTTGCTTCAGTCTCATTGGTGGAGTCATTGCAAACGGTGCTATTAGTGTTCCATTGTGTGAGCTGTTCACACTACACCTTTTATAGACTATAGTGTTTTGTGATTGGTTATTATTTGCATGTTGTATCATGACTCGACTGCTATACAGTGCATATTTTTGAATGCTACCCTCTGTAGTGTATTCCAATTTTGCCATGTGCTTCAGCCAAGTCAGTGGGGTAGGGCGGGGTCCGAATCTTAATTCGCCGAATCTTAATATTCTTCAAGTTTGCCTTGAAGAATATTAAAGCTTGGAATATTAAATCAGATAATGTCTGCTCAAGATAAACTTTAGTATTTTGTTTTACCAAAAGCAAGATATTCAACAACAAATACAACAATAAATTAATTAATCAATTGAGTGCAACTGCAGGTGGCCACCGTGCTGAAAAGACATTTTAAATACATATAAATTCATTAATACACACACATAACCATAAACCATCAAACAAGAACATGCACAATACTTAAATCTAACAAGGCTAAATAATCTATAATAAATATTCTCCGATGAGGCGCGACCACATCCAGGCACTCGTATACTCCTATTTTTTTTTTTTTTTTTTTGTCCTAGGACGCTAGGCACGAGCCTGGGGTTGTTTTTCACATTACTTCAGGCTAGACCTAGGGGTTGCGGCATTATCACTTAGATAAAATCCATTGGTGACTTGGCGGGAATCGAACCCGGGACCTCAGGGACTGAAGTCCCGCGCTCTAACCACTACACCAGCTCGCTCCCCATAGCACTAATAGTCTCACACACGCCTAGAGGTAGGGGCACTCAAGCACCGAGTGTCCACAATGTCTGGCTAGCCAAATGTTTATTTGATTATTACGGGATAAGCTGTGAGATCAGATGGTAAGATATTTTGGACTAAAGAATAAGATGTCAAATCAAATCAAATCAAAATCTCCTTTATTCATGAATGTACAAGTACAAAGAATAGAGTCAGTGAGTACTTATTGTCTATTCACAATATTTTAAATTGTAAAATTCCTCAAAGGAGTAAATTGCTTTTTCTACTAGGTATTTTTTTAGTTTAAAGTAAAATTTCCTACTATTACATTCATTTTTTATATCTTTTGGTAAAAAAATTATATATCTAAGGCCTCTATACACTGTGTTTTTTTTATAAAATTCTAAATTATGTTTGTTTTGTATAACATATTGTGCATTTCTGGTATTATATCTATTACTGGTAGGCCTACTTAGTTCTAACTGTATTTTTGGTAAATGGTGCTGCTTAGTATATTTTATTGTCTCGTATATATAAATTCCAAACACTGTTAGGATTTCCAAATTAGAAAAATTATACTTTACACTTTCAATCCAATTTAAACTTAGCATTAATCTAATAGCTTTCTTTTGTAACAGAAGTATTTGAATAAGGTTTGATTTTGAGGTCCCTCCGTACACACTAATTCCGTATGATATAAATGAATGTACAAAAGCATAATACACCAGTTTTAGAGCCGAAAGATCACAGACATAGGACATCCTTCGAAGAGCATACAAGCCTGATGAAATTTTGCCTACAACATGCTGGACATGAGAGTCCCAACTTAAATTGTTATCAATAATAATTCCTAAAAATTTTAAATCATTTACTTTATTAATTTTAGCATTAGTCTTTAAAATTGTCTCATTGTTTTTATTTTTATTTGTACAGAATAGTTATTTGTGCAACTAGTGAGAAAAGTGAGCAATTGACTCACTCGAGAGAAATCCTTACTCACGAGCAGTAGGCTAGTGAGGAATGCTTTCTCGAGTGAGGCAATTGTACTTTGAACTCGAGTTGCACATTATACTTTTCCTACAGTTACCATAAAACAAATAAATTGGTGAAGAAACATAACCTATTTTTACACAGAAGTGAACTTTTAATATAACATTTAATGTGAAGTGACAAATACAACAGTACAACAGCTGACCAGCTGATTTACAGCCAGTGCTGCCAACGTATTTCGCGCGCATACGACGTTGCCTGCATGTTACACGCTCACTATTTCGTGCCTTCACGTTGCAAATCTGGAGTGAGACAAAGTAATTAGAGTGAGACAATGTTAACATTGTCTCACTGATGAGCGAATTGGCCACTTTGCTTTCTCAAATCAGTGAGAGAACATGTACATTGTTAGGTAACTGTAGGAAAAGAAATGTAACTACTTTTATTTTCATTTAAAAGTAAATTTTTGCTGTTAAAAAAGTTTTTAATCTTGTTAATAGAGTGAGAATAAGAATTTTGTACAGCCTCAAGAGTTTTACCTGTCACCAAAAGGCTTGTATCATCTGCATATAGGCAAACTTTGCTATCTGTTCCTGAAATAAAACTAGGTAACCCCTTGATATAGCACAAAAACAGAAGCGGTCCTAGGATAGATCCTTGGGGTACTCCG